TCGTGTGTAAATGATACAGCACAGGCTGCATGGTTGTGAAGAAGCTATGACATGAACCACATCCGTATTTTTAGTCTATTCTCCTATACACTTTCATAGCTCAGGGTACTCAGTTTGAGGGAGAGTGGTTCCAAGAGATATTTGTTGTCCTCTGATACGGAGGCGGCCATACTTGAATACGAAAATATGGCTCTACAGGTATAATTAAAAAAAAATCCAATTCAATAAATGATATAACTTATATTAATTTTAAAAAATTAATTTCAGTGAAAAATCATTCAGTTAGTGTTTGTTATTTTTTGTTTAACAAAAATCTTGACAATTCGAAACTATTTCTTAATTAGCTCTGCATGACACTTTTTAAAAGGCGCAAACTTTGAAACGCGCGAGACGTTGAAAAGTGAATCGGTAGAGTGGGAGGATTATTAGCGTAGTCATTCTTTGTCAACCTTTGAAGAAAATAACAGAATACGAAGAAGGAATATCCAGAGGATCAATTTACTTCATAACTGCAGATATTAGTGGTGAGTTACAAAAAAATGGAGGCAATCGCTGAATCTGTGAGATATTTGTCAAGATGTTAATGTCTATTTGTAAGAGTTCAGTCATGTCCTTTTTATTGAAAATTTTGTCAAACTTTGTTATGAGTAAGAATCCAACCAAATTACGTTACATTTAATAATTAAAGATTGAAACATTCATCCTGTTCACCTATAACATCTTGAACATGGCGGGCATGGGAAACAGGCTAAACTCCCGCTCGGAATGCTTTAAAATATGGCAGTGCCTATGATGCAGAATTAAATGAAACAAATATGCAAGTCAAGTTTTCACATTTATGAGCATTTTCAGAAAATCTTTGTTCTTGTAGGGAAAAGAGAAGCAGTTCACAGATAATGTTAATGAGTTGAGATCAGAAGATTAAAAAACTCTGGCTGCCAAAAAAAAACAATATATAAAAAATCCAGGCTCTTGAAGAAAAACAAAAGAAAGGAATGAAAATATGAATTGTAATCGATCAAAGGATCCAAGTGATGAAATTCTGAAAATTCCACAGGGAAAGCCAATAAGATTTTTTTTATTTGACCACCTCTGCTCAAAATCCTTGAAAGCCCTTTTAGCTGATGCCCTAATTGCTGAACACACTTTTCTGCCAGACAGTGAGACTTGGATTAAAAATCATTCCATTTTAGGCATACACTTTGAAATACGCTGAATAAGGAACCCACTCTCCTCTTGACCAAGTAAGGTTAAGGATTCTGCAAAGAGTCGCGTTTGAATTGAAATTTTTCATAATTTATTCCTAAAAAACTTTTACAAATTATTCATGAATAGTTCATGAAAATGCATTGAACCTTTTAATATCATTCATGAACTTTTCTTGAAAGTTCATGAATATAATTCATGAACTTTTCTTGAAAGTTCAAGAATTATTCTTGATCGTTTTGCAGGCATTTAAAAAATCCAAGTTTGTTCATGAACAACAAATAATTCTTGAATATTCTTGAACTTGGTTTTCATGAATAAAATCCATGAAATCATGAGTGTCCAATTTTAACTTCATGGGATCTTCATGAACAATTCATGAGCTGATTCAAGAATATAATTCATGAACTTTTCTTAAAGGTTCAAGAATTATTCTTGATCATTTCGCAGGGGTAGGACATGTAGAATGATCTGTCCTTTCATATTTCCTGAGATCCTGCAACTTTGGTCTCTTTTCATGCAAAGTTTATTAAAGGGATATGACATTCTCCTTTAATCATGCACATTCCACCTTTCATCTAATTTCCACCTAACTGTAGATCAGTATCAAAGAGGTCTTTGAAGGTCATGCATCAAATATACTTCATGTTGCCTTGAAGTTCATTTTTCTTCCTACTCCGATAATCTGCACAGATTCAAACAGCGGTCTACCACTCCTTGCATCCTCAGACCCATCATCAAGGTTATAAACATTATTTTTTTTTTTATTAATTCACCAAAAAGGGGATCATTCTCATAAATCAGCTACAATTGATAAACTACATCTAGCTTTGCCAGAGACAGAATACCAGGATATTACCTGGAGCCACATTGTAGTCAAAATGCCAAAGCATCTAACAAACAAGCCCATGACTTCCTGAAAATCAAGGGCTTCAGCCAGTGGTGCAAAGCATCAGCAGTTATCTTCTCCCCCAGTATAAATATGTGGCATCAATAATAATACAAGCACCTAAATCAAGTCGGACAGCTCAATGATAGTTATCTTCTGGTTTATATTGGTCATAAACTGTGTCTTACCACCCATAAAGTCTTGCCTATAGGTGAAGAGAATATAAAATAAATGCTTAGGTGGTTTTTCATTTCAAGTAGCTAATAAATGGTGTAATTTGACATCATTATAATTGTTGTATAGGGAAAATTGACAGTGGGGGTGTGTGAAATATTTGACAGGTTTGACTTTATAGAAAGAAACTTTCACTTTGATTATAGAATTTTCTGAACAATCAAATTAGACTTTTTGTTAATTGAATAAGAAATGCATATGTTGCAAATATGGAAATACTTCTATAAGATATGTGTATGATTGATGTATACTCATTAATCAAGGACCCTCAGATGTATAATCAAAACTAAATTTAAGTCATTGTAGTTTAAGGTTTCAAAAACCTAAAATGTCCAAAACTTGTGACATAATAAGGTCGCTTTCCTCCCATATTTTAAGCCTAGCAGACAGCAAAAGGCCCTTATCATGGCCTGAAGATGCCACTACAGGCAACCATTGGAAGCACAGGCAAGCCAGTTCTACATTATGATTTATGTCTTTGGAAATGACATTAATTTTTCCTGAGGGGTCTCTCATTCGAAAGCATGCAAAGTTGCATTGTTAGCATTTTGCATTGGAATCGATACTCGCAGAATATTTCCTCTTAGAAGTTATCACCAAAGAGGGATGTGGTTCTCAGAATATCAATGTAAATGTCACTCTCTTCTACTGAGGCCATTCTGTTCTCTTTATGTAACATTATCTAGCCTTCCTGTCTGCTATTAAACAGGGGGACTTCTAAAAGACTAAACGTGTGACAATATTCTTTTCATATTTAGGAAGAAAATTGGTCAATGACAAGTATAAATTAGTATAACTTTGAAAGCATGATGTGTGACATTCTCTGCTTCCAAGACAATGTAGCCAAAAGAAAAGTGATTTAATATTCTTGTAAAGACCAGATGGTTAAATACTAGTTTCATATTACACAAACTAGACCTGCATAAGGGTAATTTGTTCAGTTATGGCATTTTTGCTTTTTTCGGAAAATGCAGTCCTCCGATAAAATTTTCCCCTCTTAATAAGGTTCTTTAAAATTCTAAATTGCAACCTAGCTCATTCAATTCATTCTTCATCCTTTATGGACCTCATAACTAAACTTCTTTCTTTTTTCAAATTAATTAGAATCAAGGACTGGTCTTTTAGAGTTTGGTTCAGTTTTTGACCTCTGTAACATGTACACTTGCCAACAACAGCATCCAATTCCTAACTAACAATTTTCAATGTACGTAAATAAAAACAAAAACAAGCCCAGTATATTAGTTTTGGCAAGCAAACTCAATCTAGCTCCTCACCAGAGCATCAAGCAGGAGATAGAAATGTATTAGTTTCAAAGTGAAAACAATGATTAATACGCAGCTGGATAACCAAGCCCAGTTCTCTCCCCTTCTGTTTCTGAAGCTGTCAATTTAACAAGGGTTAATTACCAGTAAATGTGTGGCCCTTCCAAGAAAACAAGCTAGAAATTGCCTATTCTCATTATCTCAATTCTAACCTTCCATGTTACTGCCTGTTTCTTATGTTGTAGCCTGCAGATGCTAAAATTGAATTTACAGTAAACAAATTTCAAAGTCGTCTTTGCGGGAAGCCAGTGGTTGAGAAACATCAATACTCCCAATATACACAAATTTTCAACTTGAAAGAATTTTCTAATCGATGTAAAAACTTGTAATTTATGCCTTTGATTTTTTTTCTTCTTCAGATTATGAATGAATAAGAGATCAAAACTAATAACCAAAATCTTCTGGAATTTTGATCAAATTCTGATTATAGTCGAACATTGAGATGTGAATGGTTTTGTACAGGATGAGTCTAATGGAACATGAAACTTGCTCAGAGTTTATGTTTAGCAAGTGTCTTTAACACTTCTGAAAATTCTTTGTTGGCAGTAAATATTCTCCTCCTAAGCCTTTGTATAATTCCAAAGAGGCTAAAAAGAGACACTTCAATTTAAAAATAAACCCTAATAACTCAAATTCTAATGTTAATGTTTACAGTCATGATAGATTTATCTCTGCAGATTTATCTTCTGAATCTTGGTGCACAAAACCATCTTTTTTAGAACTGAACAAGCTCTTTAAATGTAGTCAATCCCAGAACCTAAAAGTACATATAATATCACAAAAAAAATCCTCATCTTAAAATATTGATTAAATGAATCAATATATTATGGAAGTACTGGTACATGCAATTTTCTGCCTGATCATGCATGTCCTCCGTCGACCTCAAATTAATAAATTATGCCAGCATATTTCATTAAAGTCTAATATGAGGCATTGCTGTACATACTTCAAATATTCTGTTCACCTGTGACACAGTGACAGCTTTATAAAAAATCACCACGGAATACTTTGGATAAAGTCAAGTTTATCATTTCATTAATTATGAATATGAATAGCTTAAACCTAATGATGATTAATGAAACTTAATATTAATCTGACATTCCTAGCTCCAAAATATTCAAACATGTTTATTTTCATGCACTTTATGATTTTCTGTCCATGGTTTGTGTGGGGGTCTGGACCACCTCTTAAATGCATCATTTCTGCTACCTGCCCCTCCCTTATTCCCTCATAAATACATGAAGCACTACTTACTCTGGCTTTATTTGTTGACTCCCTTTCAAAATCTGAATTAGTGGTAATTTCCAATTACCCTGTTTTTTAGTTTAGATTCCCGCTTTGGCACTTACCAGATACCACATCCTGGGCCACTTTGGGTCATTGAATTTGTCATTAAAGCTGATGCTGCTGGAGTAATATCTGTCACGTTTTACCCGTTTTTTAACAACCTGCTGTTCTAACCATTTTACCTACAAAGAAAGAATTAAGAATTGTGTAAGTGATTAAAAAAACATTTAATTGTAACACTTGCAGAATGTTAAAAAAACACTTGCAGAGTGTCTGATTTCTATGAGATGAAAAAGACTACTTAAAATTTTGAAATAAATAATTTCATTTGGAAACTTATCTATTTCTAAATCTTGTGAGATGTTTTATAACATCAAATATTTATAAATTTCACTGATTTTTTTTAATGATTGAATTTTGTAGTTGAATGAATTTTAAATTAATTTATCAATGAAAATAAATGTGAGGAACATAATAATTTATTTAAAAACTCCTTTTCCACATAGAGAGAAAAAGCTCCCAGCTTTTCATGATAAAATTCAGTGTATCTGAAAATATTTTTTATGGTAAGTTTTTCACCATATCACCTTAACAAAACACAGGTGAATGCCTTAGTGAGAATCTTTGAGAGGCAGATGTTGGAGAGGAACGTGGGACTGTTTATTGTAATAAGGAGGCTATATCTATCAGTGATACTGTTATTGTTACACAAACACAACCTCCTGACAGCATTCCTATCCCTCCCCATCATCCCTCACTTGTCATCAGGGACAGGGAGCTCTCTCAATACAAACATCAGCTTCTCTTTTGTCAGGCAAATCTACACCTCTTATCTCTCCAAAAAAAAATCTTTTTTTTAAAAAATGAAACAAAATGACTAAACTTTCTGCACTATTTGAAAATTTCGATCTATGCAAAATTAGTTCAAAGAGTTAACAAAATATGTCCATAGGAGTGTCCCTGCCCAGGGTGCATCTAGCAACAGGAAATGTAGGTACTATCTTGCTTCTTTGATTAAATGAAAGATAAATGAGGAGAATTTGGACACAGTTGACAAGTTCTCACCAACATGTATCAGTGTATGTATATTGAAGAAATTCTTTAATTTTTTAAGCATTTTGAATAGCTACCACTGATTGTATCTGTATATGAAGATTGATGAAAATACCTTGAATGGTTTCTTTGAAATTGAGCTAAACACAAATTTAAGAAAGTGAGGTCATGGTCACAGGAAAGGTCAAGGATAGCTTTTTGAAAAGCTTTGTATCAGCATAAAATCAGGTTTGATAAAAACACCTTGAACACCCTTTTTTAAACTGAAGAAATTGCAAAGTCTGATGATGGATAGAAGGAAGAATGGATGGAAAGACAGACAACAGAACACAAATACTTTATGCCCAGGCCATATTTATGTTGGGGCATTAAAATATTCTCTCTTTAGATTTCTACTTGTTGAAATTCAAATGTAAAAATGAACTCTGGGTATTTTCATTTTTACTGTCCCTTTACACTTGCAGCATCCACATCATTGGCAGGTTTCTTAAGTAGTAACCTTCCCATCTTTCTTGTCTGATATCTACTGGATCATTCACCAAAAATATTGGGAAGTTTTCAACAAACAAGTACCAGGTAATTATTTGTTATTAGAATTTTTACCGGGTCATCACAGAGATGTATCAAAAAGTTCTCTCCATGTTCCTAGTTGATTAAACAGCAAATGGAACATCGCAAACTGAAGAGATGGTCTTCTCTCTAAATAGCTCGTCATTCCTCACCAAAGATAAGTGATATTGAACTTCTTTATCGTGTATATAAATAAATTGCCAAACTTTCTGGATCATTCATCCCATTTAACATTCTAAGAATGTCTGAAATCCGGAGAAAACAGATAGCCTTACTATTTCCTGTTTTCACAGACTAATGAGTAATCATGATGAAAAATTCTCACAATAGGGAAAAATAGTCTTAAAGAATGCTTCTTGTACAATTAAAAAAGTAAGTAACACAGACAATACAGTATGCTCATGTACATATGTTGTACTTTGCCTCCTGTGGTGTTGCATTCATGATTGAGCATTTTATGCAGAGTAGCCAGTGAAAGATGATGAGAGAGAGAGAGAGAGAGAGAGTAAAATGGTCCTGAAGATTCTGAGATTCTTTAAAGTTACTACTTAGTACAGTGTACTTGGAGAATTCTGACACATGTCCTGAGTATGGGTCATGTAGGGGTCAGGAGGATTTAATGAGGTTTTGATGAAGGAACATGTTGAGTTGGAGTTATTTAAGTAATGACGTGGAGCTGCTGGCATTAGATAATCAATTGCTGGAAATGATAGGATCCAATGAGGACACATGTACACTTTAGTTGTAAGGATACAGTGATACATGGGTTGTATTGATCACAAGGGTTCTTGATACACATATTACATCGCCAAGTATGATACAGTTCAAATTATTTTTCATTGTCCAATATGCAATTAGATATTCTTTTTATATATTTCATATATACCTGTGGAGGATATGTAAAGATATCACTTAATTCAATTTTTGTCCCTTGTGAAAGTAGGTATATCAATTTTAGTCTGTCTGTCCATTTGTCTGTCAGTAGTTCTGTCTATCTATAACGCTTTCATTTCAACACAATACCTCAAGAAGCCTTTCAGAATTTGAAATGCTATTTTAAACAATATATCTGTAGGGCCTAAGGAAGATCCCTATTGATTTTAAAGTCAAAAGGTTATAGGTCAAGGTCATATATTTAAAAATTCTGTCTATTTGAACACTTTTGTTTCCTAGGATATCTAGAGAAGCCTTTGAGCTTTTGCAATGATATTTTTATTTGCAAAGATCAAGGTCATGAATTTATTTATTCTCTGTGTGTGCAAAACTTTCATTTCTGGGCAATATCTCAAGAAGCTTTCGAGTTTTCAAAATTAAATTTTATACAGTGACTCCCTATGACCTTTCCCACTCTTCTTAAAGTGCCCCACCTCTCTCAAATACCTCATCCATAATATACATATGTGCTATGTAAGCACAAGATTTTTCAGAGAAATTTGTCACAGATACTTCAGTTGCATTTGAGTGATTGCATCATATTATAACCAGAATTAAGATTAGAAATTCATTTACTAAATTTCATAAGCAAGGCCAAAATAATTGAGAATAAGGGACACTTTTCTTATAAGCCCTGATACTGATGGAGCCATTAATCTTTCCTGAATGCTTTTCCCTGTTCTTTTTTTTTTAATCTAAAATGAGTCTAGAAACATTTCAAATAGATCCTGGTACAAGTTTACCCTCTCCACCAAAAAATAACAGTTTCCTCTACCTGGGCGATATCTTATAACAAAAAATTTTGAGCAATAGTGGCATTTATTTGATATGCAGAGGTTTTTTTTAGACTTGGCAACCATCATTATAGTATTTTTTACCCACGAAAATTACTTTGTTTTTGAGAGTCTTTACGGAGGGATTAGTATAGCACCTTAACGCCACCCATCGACATATTTCAAGAACAGAGTCGGTATTGTATAATCACCTTCAATTATAAGCAGACACCTTTAAAGTAATGAAATGTCTAAAAATATTCTTTTTCATGAACTTTTAACAAACCTTAAGAAAATGAATGTGTTAATAACACCAGAGGGGTTTCAAAAGAGAAATATGATGTATAATTTACAACTGGAAAAAGGCAATTCCTCATTTTCTTGACTTTCATTACATGTATCTATCACTGCATGTGTTTTTTCAGAATGAATATTGAACCATTTAAAATATTTTATGAAACAACAAGAACACATTACATTAGAAGCCTAATACACCTGTTCATCTACTAATTTTGGCAATAAATAATCTTGGAGATCTTAGACCAATAGCCTGTTGGAAATGAGTTAATGACATGATCGATACACAGACTTCTGAAAGTTATTCAACATCCAAAACTTGCACTAAAAAATATTTCATGAAATACACCTTAACTTTGACAAAGTTTGAATTAGGAATACCCTTTAAAAGTTCCAAGGGATATCATCTCATCTAATCAAAACTGGCTCACTTCTATGATTACATACATCAAGCAATATAATGACTTCAAATTGAAATTTGATTGCATCAAAATACACCAATTTAAGAAGGTACCGGTAGTCTCTTCTCAATAAAAGATCTTTATGCCTGCATACAACATATCCTGTTAGTAAGGGCAGAAAATACAACTTCGGGAGACAGGAAAGAAACAATCCTAACACTGCCCTTTGACTGCTAAATTTTCATGATCACAAGAAATAACAGGCTTAGGTCAGATTGTATTGGTGACAGTGTTAATCTATCACCTGGTACAAACGAAACAGTGGACCGTGCCTCCGTAACTCTATATATCAGGTCTTATAGGGCCACGCTGGGGGAGCCTCATAATTCTATAGCCCTGTAAGGGAAGGAGGATGAGAACAACAACAAAATAGCCATTCCTCCCCAAAATTGGGCAATGACTTTTCTTTGTTACTGGAAAGTTTAAAATTTTTGGCTTGAAGAGTTTCGTTGAAATAACAGGGGGAAAGTTTTCCTGAGACCTATTCAGTGGCGTGTAATAAGAGTCCAGGACATTGAACAATTTGTTACATACCTGTTATTTGAGTCAACGGCTTTTCTTAACAATTGCACCACATAGTATGAATTTAGCAAGTAAGCAATCACCTTGTCTGGCCCTTACTGAACTTAGCACTGAACAATTGACTTGAAACTGTTTTCAAAGAAATGTGCTCCCCTGTCTTAGTAGGACACTCTATAACAATGCTATTAGTATTCTTATGTCAACTGCAGGCTTTCTGTCAATGTTAAAGAACATCTAGTCCAATAATTAACAAAATAATCTGAGTTCTCTTAATTGTTGGTATCCAACTATCTATCGTCTTCTCCTTCATGATTTACCATTTTAAACTCAAAGCAACACAATCATACAGAAGAGCTTGACATATGGATGTACATAGACATCTGCTCCAGGAAGATGGGAGACCAACAAATGATAGCTAATGTCACTAATTAGATTGTGTCTGAAAGAAAAAAAAGCTATGGCTCCTTTGTCTCCTTGGATCAATAAGAACCCACAAACCCAGACAGACCATCAAGCTCCTATATGGTGGACCCTTTGTGCTGTTTTGTCATCTGGTTCATCTATCATCATCTTTGAAATTCATAAAAGAAAGCACAAGTAAAATAATATTTATTAGATTTGTTAACTGACTGTCCAAAGAAATATTGCAGGTTGTTCAAGTCCCTGGAAGATGAGGTGAAGCCTTATAAGCCCTCCATGGACTTGTACAACCAGAAATGTTGTGTGGACAGTCAATAACAAAACTAATGATTCGTTATGTTGAGAACCTACAACAGTTCACAAACCTACCAAGATCAATTACAATCAAACAATTTTTTCATCTGTGCAAATCTACTTCACTCATCATCTTGTTTATTGGTTACATCACTTAAAAGGGACTTTCAGTCTTTCATACATTTTACAGTATGCCATTATTATAGTTCTCCTACCCCACCCCTTCCCCACTTTCACTGAAAGTGAGGAATTAATTTGGGTTTGTTTCAGGCTCCCTTTTAAGTCATATCTGAATCAAAAGAAGACATTTGTCATGGCATTTAGGTCAGACATCTTGTTCTCTTTCAAGTGATTTTAGGGAGGAGAGCTATTTTTTCCAAAGAGAGATAAAGTTTCCGCACACTTTGAAAGATGAGTCTGAAAGTTGGATGAAATAAAAAAGAAAACTATCACTATCACAATTTTATAGTTATTTTTTATCCTCCCTAAACTCAGATCTCTAGCTGTTTGATCCTTTTAGCTGATTATGATAATCATTGTGATCTGCTGCCTTCCTAGTAAAAGTCAGAGAGAAGAGAGGGAAGAGGGTCTGTTCTGTCAGCCAAGGATGGTGTGATGGGGTAAGCTAACGTAAGTAGTCAGGCTGATACAGATCTTAATGGAACTGCTGATCTGCATCTAACCCCTCAGAGCAACCCAGCTGGAGCTCCCAAAACATCTCCCCCTGTGTACAACATTGTATTCAGTGCAAGATCTTATCACCATTGTGATTTATCCTACCTTTAGTAACATCACCTAAATCTATTCAGAAGGAGGCTAATCTCCTCAAAGAGAGGCTAGTGCCTACTGATCTACTGGAATCAGAATTTTCATAACTGACAGAAGTGTCCATTTGACGAATCTTATGTGAATTAAATTATAAAAATGAAACCTTTTTTTAATTCAATTTCTTTACAAGTGAAGCAAATTTTCTTTCTTTAAAAAATTGGATTTGGATTGTAATAAAAACTGGACTGTTATTTTTGCTAAATTAAAAGCTGAAACTTAATTGTAATTTTTTTTTTCTGATCTAAACTTCAAGCAAATTTCTATCAAACATTTTCTCAAGACCAATAAATCACATGATACCGTGTACTATAATAACTAAAGAGTAGAGTTGGGTATTGTGAGTGAAAACCATATTGCGATATATTGCAATATTTTACCTTGAATATTGCAATATATTGCAATATATTGAATTAAAATAATAAATTTGAGCAGAATGTTTGAAATGCTGAAAGTTCAAAGACTATTTGAATTTTATCAAATTAATTTAATAACACTTTATATTTAATACTAAGGTAAAATAATAAAACAATATGAAATTTTCTTTTTTTTTTTTTTTTTTAATTTATAGATTATATAATTTTTTTTAATGTTTTAAAGCATAAAATATTGTTAAAGATTAAAACAATACATTATGGAATAATTTTACTCTGGTTGTAAAATTAAAACCAGAAAAAAATGTGACCTATTCTCGTGCGTTTTGGTGTTTTAGTCTAACCCGACCTAATTTCACCTTATGTATACGGTCAGGAAATGACCTACATCTACTCTTTTAATATGCACATGCTTCTGGTATAGCATGATGTGTTTAAAATGGCATGAAAGTTATTTAAAAAATAATTAAATTAACACTGCTACTAGTTAAACATGGATGACTGTTTACTTCTAATATGTACGTGTATACAGAACTTTACATTTCATACGATGTTGATCAGAAGATTTCGAGAATTTGAGAACCACAGTAAACATGGTATATACATTGTAGAAATGTTTTTTAAATGTTCTTTCTCATAAATTTTCATTTTAAAGTCTTATTAATTTTTAATTTTGATTTAAATGTAAGATATTCAAAACCGCAACAGTGAATTAAAAGCTCTCTCTCTCTCTCCAATAAATTCTTTCGAGAAAGAAAAAGCCTTACGTAGTTTCAAGTATTATTTCAGCAGTTTCTACAATAAAGGAGGTTTTTATATATTTTTATAAATATCGTGAAATACCGGTATTTCATTTTCATATCGCGATATATTATCGTGGTGGATAATACCGCAATATACCGATATACCGGTAATATTGCACACCCCTACTAAAGAGAAAGTACAATAGAACCCGGTATTATACTTAATCAGTACTATATTGCATGGCAATATCAATAAAATCTTGATTACAGCCAGTTTAAGAAGGAATTTTGTATGGGCTATCCTGGATTGTGATCTGAAGAGATGGTAGATTTGCATCCCAATATCGACTTCAGCCAACTAATATGCCAGAAGATGGCCCATATGAGAATTTATGAGCATAACTTCAGATCTGCATAGACAGCAATAATTAACCATTTTGTCAATCAAATGATGCCGGCTTACACAACTTGTACATATTTACTGCAGACCAGTCTCCCGGGAAGATATTTTTATGCAGTTAAGGAATACATGTGTATGGATTTTCTGCCTTGTATTTGCAGAACCAGTTTCTTTCAGAAAGAAAACAGCTTCTAACTCCCTTACTGAACTTTTGAATATTGAGAATAATGTTTCCATCTGTGGACCAAGACTCAAGCTTGCTAATATAGCAGAAAGCCATCCCTTAATAAGGCAATTACGCACAAAGTATGAATAAATTTTGGGTTTTATAGAATCTATAGCCAACTCCTTTACCATAAAATTTAAAATAAATAGACACACTTAAGCACTGAAGAATAATTTTTCAAGTAAAAAGTGCAATAAATTACATCATTGAGTCTTCACAGACATGTCTTTCTGATGAATTTATCAAATTTAAACACTTCATATCCTTAAAGAATGTCTCAACATATTGTTGACTCGCATAATGATTCACACCTCCCGTGTTCAATACAACTCAACATTTTTCACTGATATTTAAAGATGACAAAGATTCAATTCCTGTCCTTTTTCACCTAATGATAAAATTCCCATGCATTGTTCATTGTATAACTGTGGTTTTTCTTGTTCAATATACCACACCAAGGCACAAATTTAAACAAGTGGTACATTTTAATAGGAGGTTTCAAGTGTTTACATTTCAGATGACATTATTTGATAACCATATTTTTCTTTCCCTGGTATTGGGATTTGATTTGGAGCATATTATTTATTTCAAATGCCACCTTATTTAATTTTGTGCTATCACCTGCGATTGGAAATCTCCCTCCCTACAAAGCCATTCAAAAAATTCTTAACCCTTTAAGACTGTACGATAATACCTGCAAATGAATTTTTACTCATTATTGTAAGCATGGGAAGTTTTAATAGATCTCAGAGATGAATGAAAGTTTTTGAAAATTTCATACATAATACTCATGTACCAGAATATCTAAAACAGAAATGGAGCAATAAATGTAAAAGTTGGATCTTTGCAAAATCATTTCCTATTCAAATTGGGCCACACACAGGTGAAAAGATTTCAAAAAATGAAAAATGACATTAAGATAAATTTATTGCTGTCAAATTTATACAGTTACGCAGTCAAAAGGAGCCATTTTATTCAGAAACATGATAACCTTCTGTTTACGGGTTAAAGCAAAGTATGCGATTCAGTGGACATTTTTATACCCCCGCTTGAAAAGCGGGAGGGTATATAGTAATCGTTAACATTATGCTTTGGGGTACCTAATCCGCAACTCCTTCATACCACTGAATGAAATTTGATGAAACTTTCACAGAATCTTTATTACATATTGTGTGCACCTCCTATTTTACTTTTAGATTCGACACATATTTTGAGTTTCCCGGCCACAGCAAAACATGGACTTTGCCATTATACATGTTACTATATGGAGTGTTCTCTAGTGAGCTCATTGCTCACAAAGTTTTTTTTTAGATAACATTATGTTGGCAAGACTTAATCACAAATTTAAAATCACATTATTTAAATGTGTCATCAGTTTTCCTTATAAGATCTCATTCAGGTCACTATAGTGTTCTCTTGATCACCACAAAGTTTTGTAAATGATGAAAACAATTCTATAGAGAACTGTAGAAAACATTTCAGCTACATGTGTCAAATACCACATATCCTTTTATTGATAAAAAATTCAAAATATTTAAAATTTAAGTTTTCACATAGGAATGATAATTACTTTGTTGAAAGTAAATTATTTCAATCATAGTTTGATGTTCCAAAGTACATTTGACAATTTTTTAGTTTACATCGTCTCTATTTCTTTCTATCAGCTGTACTCACATTTGGCTCTTGGATTATGGTTCTGTGATGATAGGAGCTAGGGATGGCAGACCGTTTTGCTACCTTTCTATGTTGAAATGCATAATAATCTGGCATTATCTACAAAATACAAATAATGGATACATCAATACTCTTATTTTTATAAACGTAAACTTACATTCTATTTGCTAAATGTGACATGAAATTGTGTTTAAACATGTAACCAATTTGTTTTCAAAATTCTACCTTTTTAAATTGAAATCTAACGCTCTTATTAAAATAAAATTACTACATGTATTCCAAATATGCTCTAATTAAAATAAAATTACTATTCCAAAGTTTAGATGCAATTTAAAATTCAAAATACCACTTTGAACATTGACTTAAATGATGTGCATACATATTTACTGAAAGCTTTGGCATTTTTTGTGTTAGTTAGAAGCCTAAACCCATAAACACTAAGTGTAAAATGTTTTCTAACTTGAAATATGTTTAACATTTATAACTCAATTCGGGAAATATTGGCAATAATTGGACCAGACAGAAGGACAATTGATTTGAACTAATCAATAGAGATCTTGCCCATATAGTCAACATTATTCCTATTGTGCCAGGGCCAACATTGATTTTGAATAAATCCTGGTTGACAAAATGTTTGTCCATACTTGAGCTTCTAGCTAGTTGGAAATGCATTCAATAGAAGTAATGACCACACAAGCATTTATGCACTGTGTGTGATCGCTGCACCTTGGGAGTTTAATCATATAAACCTGTATATAGGATCAATATGGCCTTTTTCGGAATAATTGACTCTATCAAAAAACAAGAGTTATTATACATCCCTACCAACAACAACAGAATTCAGTCATAAAGACCATCACATAAATAAGAATATGTCTACAACAGAATTATAGCAATTGGCAAAGTTATTGAAATATTGAAACCCAATTTGCATATAAGTCTTACTGAACTATTAAAAGCATGCATTTTAATACATTTTTAAAAAGTGCAATTAAAATGTACATATGAAATTAAGCTTTAATCATAACAATTGTACGTATTTACTTCACATTTTCATTCTGAATTTTTTAAAGAGAAATATTGTTAACTACTTTGTTCTTGAAATTTTGTTGATTTTATAAAACATATAGCATTTTGCATTTAAAATTTTTTTCATTGAAAAAAAAAATGCATCAAATTTGTCAATGACAGAATTATCAATGAAAAAAAAAACATCAATGAAATACTCATTAATTATCCCACAATATGTTTCTCGAAAACCAGGTGACAACAGTTTGATAAGAAACTTCCTACATATCTACAAACATGACTACTGCTGAACTGTTGTTTTGCCCTGAAACGCTTGACACTCATTTCCTTTTTTGGGTTTCTTTGATGTTGAAGAACGTAATGAACCATACACAAAGTATCTACATAAACAATACAAAAACATGACTACAGAACAGAAAACTCTCTTCATGTTACTGCTATGGGATGATTCTGTATAAAGAATCTTAATTACACTTTACAAGCATCAACAGTGCCATTTCAACACATCAAAAGTTGGATGCAGAGAATTCAAAGGCAAAATCTTAAATAAGACCTTGAGAAATTTGTTTCAAGTACCAGTGTCATATTTTTACCATAAATGTCTTTTTTACTATTCTGATCAAGATAAATACAAACCTTATAAATTAATGTGTAAATATAAATGAAATATTTTAGTATAATGGTTTACGTACCCCCCCCCCCCCCCCCACTTGAGTTACCTGGATAGTTTAACTTTTAATATATATAATTATACAAGCTAGGATACAAAATAATTATCTGTTGTACATGTATATCATTATTACATATTGTATAAAAACAGCAGATTTTTTAAAATAAAAAATATTTAAACATTTCTATTTCAAAGTTATTGCTTTCCAAACCATCTGTTTTGCATGCATTCATCAGCGGAAATGAAAACTTGTTTGTGTGCAATTGTTTCGTGGATCCTGCAACTCTACAAACATGTCAGTGTACTTTTCCTCCGTAGAAAACACAAAAAAGTAACTCTCTAATTAGTTTTCCTTGTAGAAAAGTCCAGGCTTTTTCTTATTCACCTGGCAAATTGGAATCAAATTTGATTCAGAATCCAGGTGTTTGGTTCCAGGAGTATCAATGCTTTTTCTTGTGCCAGAAAATGTAAATACCTAATGCTGTTAATATAATAAAAATTTGAAGATTTTATATAACTATTACAGTCATGTAATCATCTCTATTTTATTACTGTAAGGCAAAAGAGACAATATTGATTTAATTAGACTTGTACATGTATATACCATTTTTCAACATTTGATAATTTGGGTTCTTCTCAAAGCATATGTACACAAAATAAAACTGACTTTTCTATTTAATGGAAAAATACATTCATGAAAGAAATGTTTGTGGTATGGAAATAAACACAAAAACATAATAATTTTTGATATATAATAATTTATAATATATAGAAAATAAACCTGAAGTAATAACTAGGAAAGCATAATTATGAGTGTCTATAGGAAACTATTTTCCATAGGATTAAAACTCACAAATCTGGATTCTGACAGTAGATATTGGGTCATGAAATATTTATATCATTCGCACTACAGACTATGAAATTCTGTGTGAATTATAAATGAGAAATTGTTTGCATACTTTTTTTTTGTAACTTTAACATGTTTAACATGCAATAAATATCCCTAATGCTAAAGGCTGAATATTTGATGAAGATTCTGGTTTTGAATAATAAGGAATTTGTAATGCAAGGATCATCTATATCATTCTGTTGAACAAATTATGTATATTTAGGAAGACTATTTCTTTTGAAACCTTGAGAGTACATTTAAAGAGTTATAAATAAATAATGAATATGAAAACAGCAAAAAAAAAAGGCAAAAAAAATTACAAATTAGGATTTAAAAAGTTACTACTTCTTAGTAGCAAATAAAGAGAATGGAGTATTTTATACAATACATGCACAAATACATATGGCAAATGTATAATAAATTTTAAAAAATGAAATATTCCATCATGATCAATGAAGATATATTATGAATTAATTATTTAAATCCACATTCCAATCTGTGAACAAATAATGAAATATAAAGTAGATTCTTTCAGAATAAGATTTCTCTTCAAATTATCTATACTATAAGGAAATACATGTAGAGAAGTTTTAAGAAGAGGGAAATTCAATAAAGCCACTTTGATAATGCACAGGCAATTAAGCCTTTATCTATAACTGTGTAGCCAATGTATCTGTAATAGAAAATCTCCAGGCAATATAGTGGTTGAGAAGATGGGAGCTTTTATCAGTAAAAGATTCTCTGAAACTTCCAAATTCATTGCTTATCTATACATTGAGTTTCCATGGAAATTCTAAGATTCTTCAAAACAGGCACATGTATACATGCAAACTACATTTTAGGAAACATTTAGAATGTGCTGTACTCTCTCAAGTGCTGTTCAAAGAAATGAGGACTCAGAAATACTATAAAAATGTTTTTGATTAAACTGTAATAATGTCAACATTTTTACCTTAGCACAAAAGTATTAGCTACTCCAAAAAATTGCATGTACATCAGCTGTACATTATTTATCACCAGATTCTATTACAAATTAAGTGTATTGCAATTTATATCTAAATGGTTTTCTTTACTTTAGCTCACAGGGAATTTTGAATAACATTTTACAGAAAAAGTCAGCACAGTTAAGTGTATTCAATTTGAACGATTTTGTTAAATATTGTTTTTCTTACCTGGTCCACATAAACAAAACCATGCTTTTGAGCCAAAGATCTTGCAACTGCTTCACCTCCTTCAATATATAAAGCCCATGTATTTGTGTATTTGTTTGAACAAACATAGTTAATCAGGACGAACCCTAGAACTGATATTTGAATAATGAATCTGCCATGAATCCTCATGGCTAGATTATTTGGAATGGTCGATGGGTCGTCCAGTATCAGCACCAATCAGTTTCTAAACGGTTGAAAATAATATCAGAATACTTTTAAATTTCTATAAATATTCCTAAATAAACGAAATTCCAAATCATTTTGAATTCAACCGTATTCCATTTTCGAAAGAGTACTTTAAAGTATCCAAATCAACTGTCCATCCATTGTGGATTTTCAGCACTAACTGATGGAATATCGTCTTTCGGCTTCGATTTTACTCTGTGAGGAAGTGACGTTTTGGGGGCTGTATCCAAATTTGAAATTGCTGAATATATTTTTAATAGTGTGTTAAAAGTTCATAAAAGAAAATATGCAAAGTTTTACAATTTCAAATCAATGATAATTTAACCGCAAATATATTGAAATATTTACACCGTCAGTGTTTGGGAAGAAGGAATTGAATGTTTTGATAAGTTTTTAGACAACCCATATTTCTACCTTTCGCGGAACAGGAAGTAGAAGTAAAGCATGCGCAGTATACTACAAGTGTTTTCGTAGTTTGGTGGGTTTCTCTACAAGTTTCTTCAGCTCTTTTGGCATGTAGGGGGTACTTGTACCTTGAAGATAATGAAAGGTAAGTTCTACAGTAACATGCTTTTTGAGATGCTCATTTTTGTTTCAATGACTTTTATCTGTGTTATGACAGGTATGGGGAAACGATAGGAGAGACAACTCCCTCCAAATAATAATAAACATGACATGCACATGATTCCTCATTGTGTCAAAGAAAATGTAGACACCTACATAGGGGTAAAATGATCACTTCCAAATGTTCCAATATCCAAAGGCATTGACTAAATAAACTCTTTAAACGTTCATAAATGTTTATTCATTATTTAGAATACTTGGATCTCTATGAAACAATCACATCTTTTATGAGATTGCAATGATAATAGGGTTTCATGTGACTTTGTCAATTGAAATCATCAAATATGAGTTTCTAAAGCTAGCCTATAATGTAATTAATTATACTTATTTTAAGTGATGCCTATGCAGGACAGTAGTACTCACCTCAAATTCATACTGAATATCGGACCCATTCCCAATGGCACAAAGTGCTAGATTTTCCCAATGTCATACTTAAACATTTCCATGGATATCAGCCTGGGTAGCTCAATCGATAGAGCACCTGACTAGTGATGCATGGATCCTGGGTAAGACTCCCACTCTAGCCATACGTTTTCTCCTTTCCTGTTACAGATTTGGTGCTGTTGACCACCCCTGGACTTGAAGGTGAAAGTCCTGCCAGGGGCCAATGAGAATTTGGGTTGTATCTTTGAGAAAAAAGACAATTTAAGGAGGGAGGGATGTAATGGTTTGGGTCATGGATATTGGCCTGGATTTCTCATTCGGTAGAGCACAGTTGCACCTGAATTATGATGCAGGGGTCCTGGGTTTGACTCCCAGTCCACAGGGCTCGACATTAAGGCTTGTCAGCTACCAGTGAAAAAAAAATTACGGACAAGTAAATATTGCTTGGCACTTGTCCTATTGGACAAGTGCATTTCACTGTTAAGGAGTCTCTAAATAATAAAAAGAACGACTGTTGAAAGTTATCGGTAGTTTCAAGACAGAAGCTGTACATAAAACCAAACTTGGATCACAATACTAAGGGATCGCTATTAATTGAGTTCACATTTGATCAGAATCGAAGTTCACTTATTGCATAATGGAACTTACGAAGTTTGAATTCTGTTTGATGTTGAAAGGTTCACTTGTGAACTTTTATGTTTTTGTCAGGACTGAAAGCTTGGATAAAATTTCATTTTATGTGTTAGTTGTTTTTATCAAAAATATCACAAATCAATCAAAATTTATTGAAAAATTTTCAGGCAAGTGAAGTTGAAGTTTGGACAAGTAAATGTCTTGGTCACTTGTCCGAATGGAGGGCCCTTAGTCCAGCCATATATTTTCTCCTTTCCTGTTACTGTTTTATTGGCAATGTAGCAAAATATACATGGGTGGTAACTCAAACTCAGTGCATTTACTACAATACAGTTTAAAATATCAAGCTGATACCAAGCCTTAGTTTAAGATATACTTGTATTTTATTTTTTATGGTTCCAAATGCTAGGTTGTTTAAATGTATATTACATGTGTACATATTTGGGGGAAATCATATATTTCAGATACCTACATGTACGGGCGGTTAACTAATAAACTGAAATTGAAAGCTTGATTTAAAAAAAAAACACGTATATCTTCTCGTTAAATTTATTTACTATACTAACATACTTTTCCAGTCGTATCTCAGCATGTCCGATTTTGGAAAACAAAGAAAACAATGTATTTGTCACCCATTTATTCGTAGTGCTTACTGTCACTATTATCACATTATCAGCACCGTAATGGCGGCCGATGACAACGCCGCCGTGTGACAAAGCGCGATAACTCTGTAAAACTCGTGAAAAAGAATCGTGTATAATAACTAGAGCAAAGCTCATTGCAAAGCAACGAGTAGGTCTTCCGTCCTGTTTGACCGGAAGTAACTTTTATTTTTTAAAAAAAGAGAAATGACATCTCTTATGATTTAAATCTTCCAAATCTATTGAAAATTGCAAAAGTAAGCCATTTTTTGCTACTTCCTGTTTGACCGGAAGTGACGTCGACGGACGGAAAATTAAGTTATATGCTTCCAGTGACAAATATTTCCCCAAAACATGTCAAAAACGGCAAAAATATGCAGTTTCGGACTACTTCCGGTTTGGCCGGAAGTGACGTCACAGGACGTATTTTGATGACATCAGTAGATTTTACCAGAGATTTTAAACAATTTTGCTTCTTTGATGTATTACAAATTCTCAATACTTTTTGAGATATCTGGAAGAAACTTTTGGCCCCTCTAGATCCCTTAATTTAGGGGTCAGCCCTTTTTCCGAGATATCATTTGAAAGATCTTCTAATTCTGCACAAATTATGTTTTATATATTTTAACAAAATATTTTTAGTTTAGAAGATAAAAAGCAAAATATGAGTAATTTTTGGCTCTTTTGAGCATTCTAATTTTTGACCCCTATATAGCACCATTTTAAATAAAGAAATCGAAAAACAAAAACCGATGTGCACAACTTCAATCCTTCTATTATCTAAAATCAGTAGAATTTCTGCTCCAGCTTAGTCGTCTCTGAGCCTTTGTCTGGAAATGAAAGCCTATAAATTTTCATTTAAAGAGAAATAACTCAAAACCAGAAGTGACTTTTTGGAATTTTAGACAGCATTCTGATAGAGTTTAGTAACGTCTAGTACCTCTGAAAATTTGAACGAAATCAATTGAGAAATGAGTGAGATATGAGGCTTCAAAGTTGGCGTCTAGGAAGTAGAAGAAAAAAAAAAGAATAATAATCTTTACCAACAGAATCAGTAGAAGGTCTTCCATTGGAAACAGAAGACCTTAATAAAAAAAACTAATAGGAAAACTAACAATGCTTCTGTTTATATCCCTAACTAGCAATTTAAATTAATATGTCCCAGTACGAAACATTGATAATATTGCACATAAACTTTGATATATGTTTTGTATCTCTAGAAAGACTTGTTGATATTGATACCTGTTTGTTTGTTTTTTAACCCTGACTAAAGTATTAATTTTTAGGCTAGGTGCCTTTTCATATAATCCATTTTGCTCATGCAGCTATGAAGTATGCCATTGTCAGTCATTGGAATGCAACAAATTTCTCCATATGCCACAACTAGGTCATATTTAAATTCCTACAGAACATTTAATGGATTTTTTTATGGTTAAATAAATGAGTGCTTTAGATAATTGATATATCCTGTGCATGGCAATGAACTATGAAGAGAGTATGATATTAAAAGCTAATGTGAAATAACAATTCTTGAACATTATTAATTCTTACTAGTTCTTACTGTCATGGATTTGAAATCCTGCAAGCATATAGATAAACTATTGTATGTTTGTTTGTTTTTTTCAAGATGGGTGAATATTATAATGAATATGAAATTAAAGTACCTGTGAATGTGGTCACTGGTGTAGTACCGGTATTTATTGTGTAATATACATATTGAGCTTTATCTCAGTGCACTGCCACATCAATTTTTTTTTTTTGAATTCCTAAATTACACAATTTACACACATGAAAACACACCTAATTCTGATTTTTTTTTTTTTTTTACACCTGTATATGAAAATCATACAAACAATTCCATGTCAGGATGAAAGTAGTAATTGTTTATATGGAGGGGGGGGTATTCTCTTTGAAAATCTTCCTTACTCTGTCCTTGGCATCTCCATGCAGCAGTAAATTCTATTGACATTTCTTACACAGATAAGCCCAATAAATATTGACGGTTGTACCTGTGCTGATGGCTCAGCGATTATTTACCTGTGGTAATTTCTTTGTACAATTTCTCACCTGACTAGAGAAATTCTCTTAATTGTCGTACATATCTTGTTGACCACAACTGGAGGCTATTTGCTCGGCATTCCAGCACTGTTGTTTTTTTTTCCTGTTTTGTTTGACTTCTTTGGTGTTTTCTTCATGTGCAAAAGTGTTATATTGAACACTTGGGCAAACTTTAGGCTAAGCTTAGTGGATTTATCAATTATGTAGCATTGTTATAACTGAAGATTTTGGAGAAGTATATTAGCTTGTTATATTCAAACTGAAGAGGCTCTGATGGACCCCTTATGTCAAAATTTTACATAAATCAAACAAGTGAGGTAAGGAAGTAAATTTATTGTTTCTGTATAATTACTTATTGAATACAAATATTGAATAATGATTAATTTTTAGTTGATTCGTGTGCAGTGACAGCAGAGTTCCATGTTTGATGTAGACTTGTCAAGAGCATTTGTTCCTGTATACATAACGTAGAACCATATAAAATGCATTTAACCAATAGTACATCTAGTGCTCTTTTAGAAGATACACTTAATTAAGGGGTTATGACATTAGGCTCAGCTAATTGCAGTGTTTAAAATTGACAAAATTGTTTTTCTATATTTGCTTTTAGAGTAGCAGTTTGTAATGATTTGTGTATCAAACATGGTATTATCCATTGGTAAGGTCTTGGTATCCTATCATGGTTCCTATTGGGTTTATAGGTATTCATACAACATTTGAACTCTTATTTCATACATAATACACTCCGTGCTTTCGATAAATATTATAAAACAAGAAATATCCCACAAGGATAGGAGGTAAGTATACTGTAAATCACTTTTTATTTGCGAGAACTTTATTTTCGCGTAATTACGCGAGACAGTGTGCTTGCGAAAATTTAATTCTCACGTATAATAGCATTCCTTAAGATTATATAGAACAATATAACCACAATTTGTGAAAATTCTGTCTCGCTTATCAAGAGTCAATGACTATCTCGCGAAAATAAGGTGTCACGAAAATTTAGTGATCTACAGTATTTGAAATGGTGTTTTCCCCAGATGTCAGTCTTACTATGAAAAAAAAAGATTATTATTTTTTGAGTGATCTCAATATTCCACCTTGTTGACAAGGTCATTATTTCTTGTGAGATTCAATTTATTTTTAAGAAACAGTAATCAAGCTCAAAAGTTGTTAGAAACAGTTAACAAATCAGGAGCATCATCCCCATGTATCTTAAAGTCATTGAATAATTATCTGAAAATTTACTTTGTTTGACCCCCCTTAAAAAGAACTAAAAGGAAAAAAAGGGGGAAAACATGTGAAGGATTCATAAGGGAAAAAATTGTGTGGACTGTAATCATGCTCTTAAAACACATCATAGAAATATGTGATAATCTTGACATTAATGGAGCTCTTTTATATCTCTCTCTGGTTTGGAAAGACACAAGATGACTACAGAAAGTGACCATGTAAATGGTTGTTTTATAGGTGATAGGACAAAGTGACATTTTTACATAAAACTGCACCACCAGGACAAATGCTCAATCATTATGATGGGGCTGGGATGTCTTCTTTGGCAGAAGCTTTTTACATTCTGAATGCTCATTAACCAGTAATGGGACCATATAATAGTTATCCATGTGCCCTTCATTATTTATGCACATGCACAGAATACAGATTTGTCTTAAAGTTAAGATTCTTTAATTATGATACTATGGTATTAAAAAAGACTCATTCAATGATACGGTTTAAGGAAATGTTAATTTTCATGAATTATTCATGCTGGGGATTTGTCCTTGAGTTTGCATAGAGTAGAACATAGTAGAAGAAAGAGTATTGCATTAAAAGATAAAAAAAAAAAGCATTTCTGCCACTATATAAAGGAGGAATTTTCATGGACTATTCATGACAGAGATATTAAAATAAACAATGAAACAAATGAATGTTTTATTCCATGTATTCAAAACACAAATTTTTTCTTTTGAGGAACAATTTTTGGTTTCACAAATCAGTATTTTTGTTTCATATTCTGGCCTTGCATTTGAAATGTTATAAAATTATTGCTACTGTAGTGTATACAGGGTTATTTTCACCTTGTGTTATTTTCGCCTTTCACACTTGCAAACAATGTGCTCCCTTTTAAATTTGCCCAGTGACAGTTCCATTGAAGAAAGTATACTGTGTTCTTTGAAATTGTCTCGTTTGAGTAGGCAAATGGAACAAAAATCAAATGGGGATGAAATTTTCCATGTTTACCATGGTTTACAGTATATTTGAGACAAACACAAAGATTTATTAGTTAACCTACGAGAACAATATTCGCCAAGTCTGAAAGGGACAGGGGTGAGGGTAAAAAGGTCTTGGAGAAACATATACCAATATGCATAGCACAAATTATGCTTTTATTAGAATGAATATCGGTATAAAAAGGTATTGGAAAAAGCATTCAGGTTTCTTTAAATCAGCCATATAAGATATAACCAAAGTTGTTTGTCACATTATTTAAAAATAAATACATAATTAATTTGTGCATTTTTATGCTGGAATGTGTATGAGGGAGGTAGTAAATAATGAAATATAATTCTTAATTGTTTACTCGAAAATGAAATGCAAATTAAGCAAATTTATTTTATTTTTTTTGCTTGTTGTGAAGTAATCTGAATAAAGTGCTTATATTTTTTGCCTTCCTTTGTAGATGTAGCATCTTGGACAATGTGATTTTGTGAGACAACAGACATGTCAAAGCTAATTGCCAAAAACAAGAGTAAAAAGCTTGGTTTGTTCAAGTTTCGGAAAAGTACAACAGATGTAAGTATTCATATTTTCAATGCTTTCCAGTTTTAAAGGGGTCATGTGGCTTCAGATAGAAAGAGAATCAAAAATTGTGATGTGTGTATAACTTTTTACAGGGAGAAGAAAATTATATTTTGATAATTTTAAACCATATTAGCTTTATCCTCAAGGAGAATATTTTGTTGAATGCAAAATGTTTCTGAGCTTGCAAAAAACAACAGTATTTAAGCCTTTCAGAAAAAGGAAAGAAAGAAATGAAAAGAAAAGGAATAAAAGAGATAAAGAAAAGGGAGAAATTCATGTTTTCAGAGAAAATATTAGCAAAGCTTCAAGAATCAAATTAATGTTTATCTTTATAAAAGTGAAAATGAACATTTTAGGTCTTTGATAACCAGAGTCCCTGTGTATATATTTTGAGATCCATGAACTCAATTTCACGTTGTGCTGCTAATTAAAACTTAATTACAAAAGTTAGGTCCTGCTATACATCAAACAGAATTCTGAGCTAGTAATGAAAAAACAGGAGGAAAAGAGTGATGTAAATCTCATAACAATTAGAACTCTATCTTGGTGTAAATGGGAAAGCAGCAGGAGTAGGGAAACAAAGAAATTACTCATTTGACAAACCCTGGTGTAGATCATTATGTTATGAAGTGTGTGGAGTTTGTAATAATCTTATTGGAAGTGTTGTTTGAGGCAGGTTTTATGGCATTCCAATATCATCAGACGATTACAAATTATAACAATACTGGTCATAATTTTGAGATTACCATTTTATAGTTTGTCTCAGACAGAAAGAAGAAAAAAAAAAGATTTGCAGAAATTGCCTTGGTTCACAACATTGATATGATGATGTTTTTAGGTTGGGATGTTGGCTAGGGAGGTGCTAGTTTGTCTGTTACAGACTATCTCTCTGAATAGATAAAACAGATAGCTTAATCTTTCTGTGTCAAGATGCATGTTCAGGTTTCAGGGAGGGAGCATCTGCTGGTAGAATTTTTATTGCATTTAGATGAAATGACATTAATATATTGCATTAAATATAAGTTATGTAAACAGAAGCCAGAAATATTGCACTTGATAAAGATGACTGTAGATTGACGTAAACAATATACTTTCGGATTGCATGATCTTTTACACAATCCTTTATGCATAGTATACTATCATGTATAAGTTTCAATGAAATAAACAAGACAAACTCCTTTTGAACATGAAAGTTCTTGAATGAAATTCCACCTACAATAGCATGTTTTTCTCCTATATAAATACTCCAGTGAATGGAGTAAATTTCCTTGTTGTGAATGGCTGCTAGTACAAAGTAATTATCACATACAATGGCAGGAAGTAGCAGGTTGTAGGAATCAAGATAAAAAGGAGGCAAGAAAAAAGATAGAGCTTTATCAGATATTGTGTTTTAAGGAGGGTGTGTTTGTGTGCCGTTGTCTGTTGGTGCCAGTCAGACATTCTGCTTATCATAATCAACTTCCTTCCATACATACTCCAAAGGGAAAGATCAGCTAATTCCATCTCAAGACTTTGGGCTATAAGTTTGATAAATTCTGACCAAAGAAATTTTTTGATGTGTTAAGACTTATAAAACATATTGGTTGTAAAATATGATTAAAGATGGATGAGAAATATTTTAGATTACAGATTTTGGTATCTCAAGACAAATCATATCACCAGGTTGCATGCTAAAAACCATACTATTCATATGCATGTTAAATATTAATACCGATAGCTGAACTTTCAAATTGGTATCTTTGAACACCGATATCTCCAATATCATATACATGTATATGTAAGAGTGGTTTAGAAGTCTCAACTACATGTTCTTTAGGTATCTGACCCTTGATATCTTGAATCCTTGCAAATCTCAAAGTTTTCCATCAAGCTTGAAATAACAAGATTGGACTACAGTTTAGACAATTTTCTTTGTAATTAACCATAATCCTTCATTTTCTAAGCACAGGGATTTGAGCTTGCTCTTGTTTTCTATTTTCAGTTATCAGAGTGGAATAAGAATGATGAGAAGCTACTGAAGGCTATAGAGGTGGGGGATGTGGACAAAGTGCAGTCCCTCCTACAGAAAAAGACCCTCGTCCCTACCAAGCTGGGACCCCGGGGATTGTCTGTGTAAGCAAATCAACAGCTAATCAAAAGTCATTAAATCATCAAACCCAGAATTTAATCTTGCCCAGTTTATGTGAACTTGACCTTTTTGCGTTTAAAACTTAAGTTATGAATTAAATTCTGGATTCTGCATAATGCAACTAATGATTACTAATATTATAGGGCTATCACATTGAGAGAACATTTTGTTGAAAAGGAAATGCATCAAGAATTCATTTTTAGCTCTACTGGTCAGAGACCAGAAGAGCTTATGCGATAGTAATGCGTCCGTCCGTCTGTCTCTCTGTCCGTCTGTCTGTCCGTCTGTCTATAAACAATTTTTCAAAACGCTACTCCTCCTACAATTTTAGTCTGATTTCAATATTACTTGGCACACAAGTAGACTACACTAAGATACATAGAATAGTGCATTGGTTTTTAATTTCGATGAACGGTGTTGCCATGGTTACTTAAAATAGAATTTTCTGTGAAATTCCTTTAAAACACTACTCCTTCAACAGTTTTGGTCTGATTTCAATATAACTTGGCACACAAGTAGACTACACTAAGATACATAGAATAGTGCATTGGTTTTTAATTTTGATGTTCGGTGTTGCCATGGTTACTAAAAATAGAATTTTCTGTGAAATTCCTTAAAAACGCTACTCCTTCTACAGTTTTGGTCTGATTTCAATATATTTACATCCACTGAAGATTTTCTTCTTTATTTCTTAAGAAAACCCATTGCGTTCATCACTGCATGAACTACATTAGGCATATCACCTGTACAGATTTCTTGATCAGTGGCCGTTCCATCAATGAAACGTACAAAGACGTTCGCATCATTAACACAATAATTAATATTTTTAATCCTACTTAAAATGATAATTTAAACAGATATAAATATAAACAATAAAATGTCTTTCTTTGTTTGTTATTACTGGAATGAACGGTCGCAGCTATTGCAGAAAAAATTTACATAACCCGCTTACGCAGGTTATGTATTTTTTCTGCAACAGCTGCTTCCGTTCATTCCAGTAAAAACAAACAAAGAAAGCATTTTATTGTTTAAATAACTTGGCACACAAGTAGACTACACTAAGATACATAGAATAGTGCATCGGTTTTTAATTTTGATGTTCGGTGTTGCCATGGTTACTAAAAATAGAATTTTCTGTGAAATTTCTTTAAAATGCTACTCATTATAACTTGGCACACAAGTAGACTACACTAAGATACATAGAATAGTGCATCGGTTTTTGATTTCGTTGAACGGTGTTACCATGGTTACTAAAAATAGAATTTTCTGTGAAATTCCTATAAAACGCTACTCCTTCTACAGTTTTGGTCTGATTTCAATATAACTTGGCACACAAATAGACTACACAAAGATACATAGAACAGTGCATCGGTTTTTGATTTTGATGGACGGTGTTGCCATGGTTACTAAAATAGAATTCTCTGTGAAATTTCTTTAAAATGCTACTCCTTCTACAGTTTTGGTCTGATTTCAATATAACTTGGCACACAAGTAGACTACACTAAGATACATAGAATATTCCATCGGTTTTTGATTGCGATGAATGGTGTTACCATGGTTACTAAAAATAGAATTTTCTGTAAAATTCCTTTAAAACTCTACTCCTTCTACAGTTTTAGTTTGATTTCAAAATAAGTTGGCACACAAGTAGACTATACAAAGATACATAAACTAGTGCAATGGTTTTTGATAAGTACAAACCAGTAGAGCTACAGTCTCAACAGAGACTTCTGGTTTGGTTTTTGTGCCTTGTGTGCCCAAGGAATCTGAATTAAGTAAAGAAAATTTCTGACCTCCAGTTCATCTGTTTTGTATTTGTTTGGTCAAGGATCTGTTCTAAGCATCTGTGTTTATTCTAAAGCTGGGAATGTGAAATAGGTACATTTAATTATTGGGTTGTTGATGAAAACAAGACATGCTTGTGTGGCATGATCGGGAACTAAGGTCAAATGGTGTTGTCTGACAATTTAGATTATGATGTTGCTATCAAGCATTTCACAGAATCATGGCTCCTCTGCAAAATGGTGTCATGCTCCCTGTTAATAAAACTCAATTCATTCCTTGCACCACACAAAGAGATGAGATCTAACAGGAGTTTTATGATAGGGAATTTTTCGGCATTTTCCAAGGGGGGTAAAAAAAACTTGGTGACTTGGTTGTTACTGGGCAGTCATCAGACATGTTAGTTTGTGGGTCACTGCCTTGGTTCCTAGTGTGATGATGAGTTTTGTAGACTAACTACACAGACAATTCATCCATCAGTGCCCCATAACCACCCCGTCATGACAAGAAGAAGTGTAGCGTTATCACCTGTTTCCTATTAGGCCTGATGTGGATGTGATAACGGTCTATCAAAACCTGTTGCTCTGTCTCCACATGATGGCTTGATGAGATGACATATATAGATTTCGGAAGAGTTTTATGACCCAAATAAAAATCAGAAATATAATTTCACTATTTTTATTATCCATAATTTTTTCTAACAGTGAAGGTCATATTTTCTAAAGATTTTGAATATTTTTGATAAGACATTTTTTATTTGTCTGTAAGGACACTTGTCTTTGAAAAAGTTAATTTCTTGAGTGGTAAGAATTTAATTAGAGAAAAGCCTAACCAAAATGTCTGTGAAACTAAAAACATAATTTTTATTTCCCCTTTAATAGCCCCTATATATTTCTATAAAGAAAAACTCTTAATTTGGGTTTGAAGCAACCACTTGTGTTGGGCAGAGAATTAAATTAATTATTACTGATACCCACCCAATATACCCCCAAAAAAGGTCAACAAGAGTTTTCAATTGGAATAAACATTTTATTAAAAGCCAATGCCAAAAGATTAAATTCTGTTAATTTGAGCAATATCCAACAGATACAAAAAGACAAAAATATCTTTCTTTTGAACAAGATAAAGTAGATTTTCTTTTGGCAGATTTCATGTTTAATTTCTCGTTTACAGATTTCATGTAGCATGTGCGTCAGGACAGATAAAGATTGTGGACCAGTTGTTACAGTATGGAGCAGAACCTAATGTACTCACCATACAAGGTACTGACAGAGGATAAATTACAGCAATCAAATATAGTCTCTATTGAAAAGCAGATGATTAATCAAGCTGCCTAACAAAAGGCTAAATTTGAAATGATTCTATACGATGCATGAAGGGAGAAAACTTGATACAACTACCTATGATTAATTCTAACTGAAATTTGAAACATTAGCTGTTATAAAAATTTAAAAATCCAATCTGTCTGTGAGATAAAATTTGATTACCAGTAATTAATCTTAATTAAATTATCACAGGTGAATAGTTTCTCAAGTAATGCTGTCTTAATAATGTCTGGATAGAAGGATATAATAGTGATTTAATTTAAACTAACTTATTTTCTTCTTTAGAATGTATAACTTGCTTATTAAAGTTGTTGAAATAGATATTGGGGGTTTATTTGCATTACATAAAAAAAATCCATATGTGATTGATACGAAATTTGTGTTTGCTTTCAATGTTGTGTATGTTTTTTGCCACCTGCACTGTAGATTTCCTGGGTATAGAATACAGAATTGAGTTTAATCTAATAGGACTTTTACATTTCATGTTTGGATCAGGGTATAACGGGAATATGTTTGCCATATAAATTTGTAACTGTCATGCGAACAATGCAAGATTAGATCAATATTTTCATGCTTTAAATGCTCTAGTGTTGGTTTCATTCCTACACTGATAAATGGCCTTTCAATCTTGAGAGTTAAATCTTGCCAGTGAATTACAAAATAGCATGGGCCTGTCAAAGAAAATAGATACATATATCTTAATTCAATTTTAATGAGATTTGTACAATCTTAAACATTCAAAAGTAGGTTTTTGATGCCATGTCAAAAATGGTTTAATCTTTTTAGCATATTGCTTCAAAATGATAAGGCCATGCAGATTTGCTGTAGGCTGTTTCATTTACTAGGTCAGGAAAAAAATCCAAGTTTAAGGAGATATTATTAAAAGGGAATCTTTCCTTCCCTGAACTGAATTCTTTGGAACATTTTTTACTAGAACTGAAACATTTATGGCATTATAGCTTGATATCTGGGGTCTGAGGGATTAAAATGCTCATGCAAATTAGATGTTTAAGATATTTAGTTGATACATTTATGATCTGCAAAATATGTAAATTGCTTCAATTTGGTGTACCACAGTGCAGAAAAAAAGAACTCAAAATGTATATCTTGGTTTTATAGTCTGTGCCTTTGGGGTAAAGTTAGATATTAATGCTTTTATACAGTATTCAGTCCATCAAAACAATTGAAAATCAATGTCTCCCTCGTTTCTGAGCAGTAAAGGGTCGCAGAATATTTATTTATCGCGATTTCCATTAGCAGAATTCTACTTGACAATACATGATTATTTACTGATTGTACAATATATTGGTCATGGGCAAAGTGCATTAGGTGCAATATTAAAAAAGCAATTTAAATGAAAATATGTTATAAAATATTATGCTAGATTATGGTATATTAAAGGTATTTAAGCCATTTTATAAGATATATGAGGTATAGTATACACTTATCCACTGGGTGTGAGTGGGATAGCTCTTTTATCAAACCCGCGTCAGAGAACTATTCCCCTCAGACAAGCCCTTGGGGAATAGTTCCTGTCAAGGGTTTGATAAAAGAGCTATCCCACTCACAACTAATGGATAAGCGTTTTATTATACTGATGTATATAATTTCTGAAGTTTGAACTTTTTTTGGAGTAAGATAATTATGCAAGAATAATCTGAAATCCTGATGACGTCACAATGCTACTGAAGTCATTATGATTTATGACATCATCAGTTTAAAGATTTATCGCTGGAAATCAAAATTGGCTGCAACAATTGCATGAAAATTTTCGGGTGGATAGCAAAAACTATACCCCGGGGTATAGCTTTGCTATGCGTGGACTATAAAGGATAGTTATTTTACCTTCTGAACTTTATATAGGAAACATTTTAACAGAAGTATAATAATGTTTTTTGTAGCTTGTTTCATTAGCATAGATTTTGATTTTTTTTAAAAAAAGTGTTTATTAGGGCCCCGCTTGGCGGGCGCCCTATAGTGATCAGTCTGTCCGTCCGTCCGTCCGAGATCTCTTGTCCAGAGCATATCTTCTCTCTCCTTGGCCCAATCTGGCTCATACTTCACCCAAAGAGTGCCTTTGGGTAACCGGTGTGCAGTGACCTTGAACCAGGTATCTATTTTAAAGGTCAAGGTCATAGCAGAATTATATGAAAAATTATTGTCCGGAGCATATCTTCTCTCTCCTTGGCCCAATCTGGCTCATACTTCACCCACAGAGTGCCTGTGGGTAACCAGTGTGCAGTGACCTTGAACCAGGTTTCTAGGCCAAAGGTCAAGGTCATAGCAGAATTATATGAAAAATCCTTGTCCGGAGCATATCTTCTCTCTCCTTGGCTTAATCTGGCTCATACTTCACCCACAGAGTGCCTTTGGGTAACAGGTGTGCAGTGACCTTGAACCAGGTTTCTAGGTCAAAGGTCAAGGTCATAGCAGAATTATATGAAAAATCCTTGTCTGGAGCATATCTTCTCTCTCCTTGGCCCAATCTGGCTCATACTTCACCCACAGAGTGCCTTTGGGTAACCGGTGTGCAGTGACTTTGAACCAGGTTTCTAGGTTAAAGGTCAAGGTCATAGCAGAATTATATGAAAAATCCTTGTCCGGAGCATATCTTCTCTCTCCGTGGCCCAAACTGCCTCATACTTCACCCAGAGAGTGTCTTTGGGTAACTGGCATGCAGTGATTTTGAACCAGATTTCTAGGTCAAAGGTCAAGGTCATAGCAGAATTATATGAAAAATCCTTGTCCGGAGCATATTTCTCTCATGTTAGCCCTATCTGGCTATTACTTCACTCAAAGAGATCCACTGGTCAATGAATATGCAGTGACCTTGGTCGAAGTTTCTAGGTCATGGTCAGAATTACCCTCTCTGTTTAAAATCTTTGGTGCATAATTCTTTCCCTTTAATTCCAGTAAATTTATATAACTGGGATACAAGATAACTTCGATATTTAACGGTAAATTTGCAATATCCGTGAAGTTGTACTAAATGACCTTTTACTGTATTACACAAATGTTCCTCTTCAAAATGATCCCTTTTAAACTACCTTACATTTTCCTGTTCATTGTTGAACGCGGGGCCCTTTGAGATGGCCACCATCTCAATGATATCTAGTTGTAGAATGCCTTCAAAAAATCTCAAAATCATGCAAACAGATTATTTTTATCAACACTTCATTTTATCCATTGTATTCAAGATTTCAACGATAAAGAGATGTTAAAGTTCAACTGTATATAATTTTCAAATTTTGATTGGAAAGGAACATTGTAGAGTTGACGTTGATAGTTTTCTGTGTAACCATACTTTAATTTGTTCTTTGTTAGGTTGTACAGCGTTACAGTTAGCTGCTAGCAATGGATGGCCACAAGTAGTTCACAAACTTGTTCAGGTGAGGCACTATTGGGAAATCTTTTATAACTGATGAAACACAAGTTTTACAGTACTGTAATAGAAATACTGATTAAACTATGTCATGGATAAATTTTTTCATGTTTTTGGTGTGACAAATTCCTTCCATGCTGATTTCTCTGGCTGATGATTTTTTTTCTAACAGATAGGGGCTGTGGTAGACCATAAGGATGGGAATAACCTGACTGCACTTCATCATGCCTGCATGGACGCCAAGTACGAATGTGTCCAGGTCTTACTTCGAAGTGGAGCAGACATTAACATTAAGGATAAGGTGGCCCACTCGTTACATAAATAATTAAAAAGTTGATTGATTTCAAAATTCATTATTTAAAAGTGAAATGGAAAATAAGACTGTTTTAATTTTGTTTCTAGACTGGGAAGACGTGTTTATTTTATGCTGCTCATTGCGGTGATTTTAACATCTGTAAGGAACTCCTGGACAAAGGTGCTGATGTCAACACATATGACAATCACAAAGTGTAAGTTTGACTGGAAACTGGAACAGTGTTGATGCTGAGAGTTATAATATTTACTTTATTGTCAAAAATGTAAGGCCTACTTAAAAATAATTAAATTTAACAGACTTTCAAAATGAAATAACATACTATTACAATCATAATGTGTTTTTATTAAGAAATCATGAGATAGAAAAGAACTTCCTTTCAGTAAGCACAAATTTTAATATCTCCCTCTGAATGCTTTCTATATCATATCCTGCCCGTTTTAGGACTCCACTGATGGCCGCAGCAAAGAAGGGGCGTACAGATGTTTGTGAGTGGTTGCTTAAGAAAGGAGCTGACCGAGACTTTCCTGATGTACAGGGTAATCTGAAAAATTTTGCTGGTGTTTAAAATTCATGGAAGTGACATTCAAGTGGTGTCAATAAATCTGTAAGAAAGAAACCTTAAATAACTGGATTCAAGTTGTGTTCATAACCGTTAACAGAGAAACATTGGAAAACCCATACTTTGTAGAGAGGTTACTTATGTACTTATAAATATGACCTATAGTTATTTCTCAAGTTTAGAATTTCTAACTGAAGGGAAAGAAAGAATTGTAATTTTGTTAGTGTCTCTTGTTAAATCTGAGAAAAGTATTTCAAAAATTTTCATCTTTTACTTCAATTTTTAGGCAGGAAAGCACTGGATTATGCTATGGATGAGGGACATAATGAAATAAAAAGAATTTTTGAGAAAGCCCCCACTAGGGCATCATGGGATTTACAAAATGATATTGGTATGTTTGGTAAAACCACTGCAACTAATTTATTTTATGCCTTATACTCAAAACAATGTAAATCTTCTAAATACATGTAATTTTATATGTAGAATGAGTTTTGCAAGACATCGGTTTATTAAGATTATTTTTTTAATTGAAATATTTTGCCCTTTCAAATTTTTCAATATGTTATCTTTCATAAGTAAAATATTGTAAATGTGTATTACAGCTAAATCCAAACTGGTGCAGGGAGCTGAGGGGGGATATAATGCAGGGGTAACAGAAAATTTACAGGCAGAACAGGTAGGTATTACTTTCGACTAGGGATGTCAACGAGTACCCGGTTAACCGGGTATATTCCGAGTATCGAATACTAAAATCGGTACTCGGTTACTCGGATGTATATTTTGGAATATTTCTAATCTTATTTATTAATGCATTAAACAATCTGTTTAAAAACGTAAAATGCTCATTGCACTTGTACATACAGTAATTAGGGTTTACTACGACTCTAAATGACCGTTATCGCCTGTGGCAGTGTTTATACATTACAGTAATTATCGTGACCAAGCACCTGGGGTACCTGGATTTTCTCACCTTCGGCTGCCTTCTTCCTTATTTTTTGTTTGGCTTTAATTATTTGTTTTCACTGAACATCGTTTAAGATCCATTATGTTTAGATAAATTAACTAATTTTGTCAATTCTCTGAGAAGCCGTAAATTCTCGGGAGACGAGCGGATGATATTACACCAGAGACATATATATGGTTTTATATGTCTCTGATTACACGTGCGATTGTTGATATGTTTGTGTTTGATTACATGCCAATACAACTGGTTGAAGGCAAAGGCTTTAAAAAAACTGATGTCCATCGTTGCATCAAACTACATGTACAAAATACCGTCCCGTAATACTATATAAATCTCGGATCGAACAAGTGAACTAAAATCGTGTATCTGCATTGTTAGGAGAACTTGATCAAGTTCAAGTTGATACTGTACGTATTCTTTATATGGTCGTCAAACGCGACAAAGAGTTACATTACAATTACGGAGCAAATTATTTTTTTTTAAACAAAAACAATGTGAACAACTTATGATTTTATTTCTTGTGTTTATCTGATAAATGAATTGAATTGAAAAATTGGTACCGGTATGTTAAATTTCGTCGGGCACGAAGTACTCATCATTATTATTACAACAGAAATACATTTACGGATAAGCCTCCATCAGTGCATCTGGTTTTATTTCTACAAGAGTTTACAATGTTTTACAGTCTTCAATTTACTTGTTCATATTTATTTACACTTTTACCGAGTACCCGGGTACTCGATCGGAAAAACGTCCGAGTAACCGAGTATTGAAAATTGACCGATTTGACATCCCTACTTTCGACTCAAAGCATTGTTCCTATTATTTGCTGTAAATAAGTCTACTTTATTGAGGTTTTCACATATCATGCAATAACCAGGTTTACATATAGACAGAGGAAATAGGGCCTGAACAATTTAGTAATTCATTTAGTAACTTTATGACCTATCATCAAGGATAAACCGTAAAAATCAAACCATTTACTGTATTTGTTGCAGGCTGATGTTGTTGAGTTTGTTCAGGAACCTTCACCAAGACCTTCCCCTAAACTGGAGCATAGGAATGTGATAGAAGAGGCTCCATCAGTAAGTATAATCAGCATAATATCTGTTGTCATAGATCAGTGAAATGAAAATGAGTACTCTTTTTATACCCCCCACAAACGAAGTTTGGGGGGGTATATAGGAATCACCTTGTCCGTCTGTCTGTCTGTCCAGCTGTCCGTCTGTCTGTCTGTCCGTCTGTCTGTGCAAACGTGTCCAGTCCATATCTTTCTTACGGAGGAACATTAGAATCTACTACTCCACACAAAGATTGCCCATGACCCAAGGGTGTGTCATGACCATGACCCAAGGTCATTTGGGGAAGTTCAAGGTCACTGGAAGAAAAAGTTCATAATTCGTGTCAGGTCCATATCTTTCTTATGGATAAACTTGGTAGGTTCTCATTTCACACAAAGATTGCCCATGACCCAAGGGTGTGTCATGACCATGACCCAAGGTCATTTGGGGAAGTTCAAGGTCACTGGAAGAAAATTTTCATAATTTGTGTCCGGTCCATATCTTTCTTATAGATAAATTTGGTAGGTTCTCAATTCACACAAAGATTGACCTTGACCCAAGGGTGTGTCAAGACCTTGACCCAAGTTCATTTGGGGAAGTTCAAGGTCACTGGAAGAAAAGTTCATAATTCATGTCCGGTCTACATCTTTTTTATGTATAAACTTGGTAGGTTCTCATTCTACACAAAGATTGCCCATGACCCAAGGGTTTGTCATGACCTTGACCCAAGGTCATTTAGGGAAGTTCAAGGTCACTGGAAGAAAAAGTTCATAATGCATGTCCAGTCCATATCTTTCTTATGGATAAACTTGGTAGGTTCTCATTTCACTCAAAGATTGCCCATGACCCAAGGGTATGTCATGACCTTGACCCAAGGTCATTTGGGGAATTTCAAGGTCACTGGAAGAAAAATTTCATAATTCATGTGTGATACATATCTTTATTATGGAAAAACTTACTTCTGAAAAAACCCAGCGGGGGGTATTTTGTCCCGTTTGGACAGTTCTAGTTCATAATGATTCAATTAAATTTTTAACTTGCAATTTTTTGGTATGGTGAAATAAACGCTTTGCTTGCCAATGGATATTTTAGTAGTAATGAACACTGGTATTTGAGACTGAATTTCAGATTATAGATTATAACAAGGAATATCTATTTCCCTGTAGATAAGGTAATAATCAATTTGTTTTTGTAGCCAAGGACATTGTCAACTGCCAGTTCCTCTACCCAGAATTCCTCTGAGCAGCAGCAACTTCAACAGCAGAGAGCCATGGAGGCTTACAAGGTATTAATAGAAAGGTGGAGGGGGAAATGTGTGAGGGGCAAGTGGGAAAGGCCTGGGGAGTTTTTATATACTCTGCATGTTTTATGTTAAATTTTTATTTATATTTTCTTCAGTTTTCTTTTACACTGTACTTGTGTTTGAAAAATAATTATGAGTGAATTTTAATTTTTGATAAGATGGGGTTCTTGGTTGATGGGTAGAAATTGCTGTAGTGTATTTACACTATTTAATTTGGGGACATACAACATTATATGCTTCCTTAAAGACAAACATCAACAGAGAGAAAAAACAGAACATATACCGGTATATGTCATGGCTAACAGAAGTTATTCTACAACATTTTCATTTAATATGAGATATACAGACAGGTTTCAGGGAAAATTATTTAAATGAAATACTCAGAAATATGAATTATTATAGTTATAAATTACCGGTAATATTTATAAGCAAAATATTTATTGAATCAGGATATGCATGCATTTGTTGTAATGCGATAGTCTAATGTGGGAGACTCACGAAGACGGACAAGTTTAATCCAGTCAGTATTCCTATATAAAGCTATACAGTATACAACATTCTGTCAGCATATTGAGGGCTGAAATTTCTTTAAGCATCAGTTTTGATTGAGCCTTTTATGATTTTCTTCTTTCAAAGGGATTTCATTCTAAGGTAAGGAAAGCTAGCCGATTTCCCCCAAGATTATTCTGGCCTTGTGTGGCTGACTGCATGGGTGCTGGCACCTTCTCTTTTGTTCCCTTTACACATCTAGGATCATCAAATCATCAGTTCACATTAGACACGAAGGGAAGGAGGAGGAAATTCAATGTCTTCATTTGTTAAATTTTAACATAAATAGCATCATTACTTAGATCTAAAGTGTAATACTAGAAGGCCAGGTTTTAGACAGACTTGTAAATTATTTGACTTTTGATATAACAAATAAAATTCAAGTTTATGTACTAGAAGAAAGGAAATACATTTTCTAAGATAATCAGATCTTGACATTAACCTGTCTTTTTCATGGAGCTTTTTGATATGATTGTAAGCAATTAATGATTGATAATGCTTTGTTCATAATTTTGAAATGTAGTAGCTATAGCCATAATGAAAGATGTATATTATGAAAGTTTCATCCTGCATTAGCATCCACAAAGTACTCTAAAAGGCTTTTCACTCTCTGTTTTAATTGATTATTTTGACTAGATGTGGTTTTCTTTTGAGACAGTTTCACATCAAGATTATACAGCTATTCACAAACTAATATCTACAACATGTTTGATATAAAGGATCCAGTACTATCCTTATGTCAGAGAGTTTGCATTGCCCAGAAGAATGCCATTTCCTCTTTGTCTTCAGAGGCCATATGAATTTTTTTAGACCAAAGTTTCAAATTTCCATAACTACATGTAATCAAAAAAATGTTTTATAAGTTTGAATATCCTTTAACATCCTTGAATTGCATGATGACCCTCCCCCCTATTTCTGGAATATCCATTTATTCAATCTATTATTTTTAAGCCTAATTTGAAGGGTTTACAAGTAAAATATTAAAGGATCTCCTACATGTACAGTGTATTTCTTGAAAAATGTATGTCTAAAATATTTTTCATTAAGAAATCATTTCAAAAGACCATTGCAATGTAAACCCTGCTTAATTAGTTTCCTTGGTATAGTTTTAAGTAAAAAAAAAAAAAAAACGTAGCAGTCATTCAGTAATTATAAAAGACAGATATAGGTTTGAATATTCAAGTGCTTCTTAAGATTTTTAAATGATATTGTATATATTTCCTAAAGAAAAAAGAAAGAGTGGAGGTGTGATCCATAGTCAGATTTAATGTTTCTTACAATGAGCAGAAAATGTGTAGTATATTTGCTTGTACTTCAGTTTGCAGAAAGGGCATCCTTTACATCCCTATAATATAGGAGTAAAACTTACCATATTTTAATTTGATAGATTAATCAGACTTTTAATTTATTTCAAATGCTAGGAATTAGAAGAAGAACATGAACAACTCAATGAAGACTTGAACAAGATGACACTCCAGAACAGAAAGTTACAGGATGAAGTGGTTCAGCTTAGGAAACAACTTGAACAAAATGAGTCTAAGGTACAGTGTAGCAGCATATTTATATTACAATTGGAAGATTTCTTAGTGTGGCAAGATTGGTAAAAAAAAAAAAGATGAGAAAAATACTATTCTAAAGCTGAACATACTTGATTTCAGGTGGCAGATGATAAAGTTGAAAAGATGAAAGAACAGGTAAGCTAAGGAACTAATTTCTTTTGACTGACTGACATAAAAGAGAATGTCATGTCAATTTTTAGCTCACCTCAATGAAGTTGTGTGTAATATCGGCGTCGGCGTCGTCGGTGTCAAGTCGGCGTCCCAGGTTAAGGTTAAGTTTTTTGGAGCAGTTTTCTTTTTAAGTACTTCTATGTCCTATATTGATTAGACATGCATGGAAGATGGTTCTAGTGTGTTTCATTGTACCAGTCAAAGTTTCAGATGCTGCAATTTCAGCAAAGGAATGACCAGGTTAATGTTTTTGGAGCAGGTTAACCTTTTTGGTGCAGTTTTTGGTGTAGGTTTCATTTCCAAGTAACTATAAGCCCTATGTTGACCAAACTTGCATGGATGATACATCTAAGGATGCATACTACCAGGCTTGCTTCGGATGCTGAATCTGACCTACATTTTCCGGTTGAGTGAACAGGTTAAAGTTTTTGGTGCAGGTTTCATTTCCAAGTAACTATAAACCCTATGTTGACCAAACTTGCATGGATGATACATCTCGGATGCATACTACCAGGGTTGCTTCGGATGCTGAATCTGACCTACATTTTACGGTTGAGTGAACAGGTTAAAGTTTTTGGTGCAGGTTTCATTTCTAAGTAACTATAAGCCCTATGTTGACCAAACTTGCATGGATGATATATCTAAGGATGCATACTACTGGGCTTGCTTCGGATGCTGAATCTGACCTACATTTTCTGGTTGAGTGAACAAGATAGAGTTTTTAGTGCAGGTTTCATTTCCTAGTAACTGTAAGCCCTATGTTGGCTAAACTAGCATGGATTATACATATATTAGGATGTATACTACCAGGCTTGCTTCGGATGCTGTATCTGACCTACATTTTCCAGTTGAGTGAATAGGTTAAAGATTTTGGTGCATGATTCATTTCCAAGTAACTATGAGTTCTTTAATGACCAAACTTGCGTGGATGATACATATAAGGATGCATACTACTGGGCTTGCTTCGGATGCTGAATCTGACCTACTTTTTGTTGCTGAATGAAAATGTTAGTTTTTGATGCATGTTTCATTTCCAATTAACTATGAGCCCTATAATGAGCAAACTTGCATGGATGATACATCTTAGGATGCACACTAATGGACTTGCTTCAGATGCTGAATTCGACATATATTTTCAGATAATAGACCAGGTAAAAGTTATGGGTGCAGGTCTATTACCAAAAAACTATAAGGCTTATATAACATTGTATAAACCAAACTTGCACAAATGTTGCATCAAGAGATGAAAACTCTCAAATTTGCTTCAGATGCTGGATTTTAATTACATTTTCATGAAGAAGAACTAGTTTAAATTTTTTATGTTGTTCTATTTCAAATTCAGATTAAAATTGCTTAAATATTTTCATCTTTGGAATGTACACTTCTTGTTGGTTAATTGTGTGACTCTGCCTTACTTAAAGACAACATTCGTTGAGGTGAGCTCTGTAATCTCTGATTACCTATGTTTTTTAATGTGTGTAAATTGTCGTACAAGTGAGAAACATAAGTTTTGTTATTAACATTTGTAGATTGAGATACTTGAGGATGCCCTGTCTGTAGAGAAAGAAAAGAACCAAGAACTACAAGACAGGCTTACGACCAGTGATAAACAGGTTAGAAGTCTGTCACAAATAACCAAAATGTTGATATCAAATAATGTTTTTTATTGAAATTGTCAACATAATTTTGAGAGTGTAGGGTTGTATCTGTAACTTGGCCATGATTTCAGGGTACAGGAAACGTGGAAGGTAAAACTTCAGATGATGCTTGGAATGACAATGAAGAAGATCTCTTTGACACTTTAGGTATAAAATCCATTGAAGTACATGTTTTAAAAATTGCACTGATGAATCTTTTTATGCGCCCGGATTGATATATCCGGTGTGTATATTGTTTTTTGTCCTGTCTGTCTGTTTGTCTGTATATCTGTTTGTATGTCTGTTTTCAACTTTAACCTTTGCCATAACTTTTGAACTGTGAGAGATAGAGACTTCATATTTAGTATGCATACTCCACTAATTAAGCGTTTTCAAATGACACCAAGGTCAATGACCTTGTGACCTTGACTTACCTATATGCTAAAAATAGCTTTTTCGAACTTTGTTGCAGCCGGGTGCATAGTGTTTCACAAACACATCTTTGTTGAAATAATGAAATGAAATAGCATGAAACATTGACTACCGTAATTTTCGGGTTATAGGTCGGTACTTTTTTTCTCAGAACCGCTGGGGTCGCCCAATATACGAATTCGACCTTTCTAAGGCTCAAGTTTACGAAAAATGCCCCAAAATCAATAAAATTTACGTAAATTTCAGATCAAAACTGTGCCACTTTTATAACTTTTTTCATTATTTTACGCAGAAAAATTAATGCCTAGGTAAACAATAAAATATTTATTCTATAGCTTTCTTACAAAATAAATTCCATTAAAATCCGTTGATGACAAAGGAAAAAACTGTGCTTCATCAAGTTAATAATTCCTCAACGTGTTATCCATTGCCATCATGCGGTAGCCATCTTGTGAAGTTAGGAAGTCGCTATCGTTTACTAAAAGTAAAACCGCAACCGTATCAAAATTTAAAATACGGAAAAATTTTCAAGATCACAAGTGTAGTGTTTTACCATTAATTAGTAGATTGATAAATTGAAATAGTATTAATTTTTTTATTGTAAAAGTCTTATATTTATTTTAATGTAAAATGAGTAAAATAAACTGTTGCCAGTCAATTCCTAAAAATCGTTTTGAAAGATAGTTTGAAGTTTTACAAGAAATTATGGAAATATACATGCGGATGATAAAAAATTAATTTTATTGACATGGAGTTTTACAAGCAAAGAATTAGTAATAAATGCAGGTTATAGAAATATGATTTAAGACAGAAAAATAATTTTAACTGATATTATAAGGTTTATTAAAAGCTTCTTCGTACACAAGAAGTACACTGAATTACCGCTATACAAAGATTGGCTTCTAACGAATTTTAATTGTCTGACAGATAAAAGGACTTACACTGTGTACACGCAAAGGTTTCAACACCTGTGTTGGTTTATTACCCGCAGGGCATGGTTAGCAAATCCACGTGCCGTTATAGGGTATTAGTGTTACACATCATTGAACAAACAAAGCCATGAAATTCATAATGACTGTCAAATTGTGGTGGACCGGTACTCTCAATTAAATTTATAAATTAAACTTACAGCGTGGTAATATTATTTCAATTCTTTACTGTTGCTTTATATATACGAGGGCCGTTCAAAAATTACGCGGACTTGTTGCCCAGAAAAAATATTTGATGACATAATTGGGCAAAATATCACACATAATATAAAAGAATCTTTACTTATATGGTCTTCAAATTTTCATATCAAAATGTTGTAAATTGGTATCAATTTTGAGTGATTTATCAGGGCATATCATTGAGTCACGGAGCAACAAAATCTTCGACGTCACAGGCTTTATAAAAAATATGTGATTGAGCTTTCATTTTCTCAACATTTTCCCAAGAGTTCCTGTACAGTTTCAGTTACCTTATCTACTCAACATCCAAACACCATTTCTTGTCGAGCTTAAAATCTATTAAACAAGTAAAGAATATTCTTTTTTGTTTTAAAACCAAAAACTGCAAGTATTTATGAGATATAGTGTGATATTGGTGACTCTCAATCACGTTCTTTACAGTCTTGATAAAGTTTTCCTCTTCCCGTCCTCCCGTATAGCCTTTTTACAGAGGTCTAACAGTCTAAAATTTCATTTTGCTATTTGTGGACGAATGTCACGAATACCCTAGTTTAATACATGTGTTATTATGCATATTTTGAATCTATGTTGGCGATATATTGAGCATTACACATAATTTAACAAAAGTGTGGTGCGCCGTCAATTCAGGAGACGTCATTTTCACAGTCGTTTTCACGGGAATCGCATCGGAAAAAATCACTATATTTCTGTTAGTACTTCAAATATCATGTCAAAAATCTAAATACATAATAACAGAACAATTTAAAGATACATTTGAGAAAATTTTCGAAAAATATCACGAATTATAGAAAATTAATGAGTTAAATTTTGGATTGCGCATGCTTTTCGTCAATTTTTTTTTGTCGTGCTCCGTACCTCTCCATCAGTGATATCAACATACCGATAATTTTCGTAGAGTTTTTTTTAAATACGGAAATTTTGCCCAAAATTCATTGGAATCTTTAAAATACATATTTCTGTGAAATTTCATAACTATATGACGTCTGTAAGAGTAAATAATAACACAGTCCGCGTAATTTTTGAACGGCCCTCGTACATTCAATGGTCGTTTGCGGGTTTTAGCAAATCCCTGAAGAACAAAAATGAAAATGGCGGACATCGAAGCAATTGTCGTCCACCGGTAAATAACTAACTGAATAAACTATATTAGGAATGTGTCCAAGTTGTTCTGAAATCAGAATTATTATTCTTTGATCTCGGGTATTTCCCGAATTATAGCTTAAAATAAGAAACGTATTTACGTGTTATTTTTGCCTCTGGTTTAACAACAGTATGAAACTACGGAGGCATTGAACAGGCAAGTTGGAGAAAAAAAAGTAGTAACACAATGCAAAGAAGTTTTAACTACATTTTTTTTTAAAAAACTTTATTTAAATGCTGTACTCATTAAAATACCTGTTTGTGATACGTTCATGTCACGGAATTGCCCCGGTAATTTTAGAGGTTTACCTGTTCTGATACGTTGTATCTGTGTGAGAATCTTTAGAAAACGGGAAACAAAGCCTCGTCCTATATAGTAAGTTTGTCCTATCTTAGGATTTTTCAAAAATTAAGGCTGAAAATGAGCCTTTCGACCTATATACCCCATCCACCTATAACCCGAAAATTACGGTATTTTGAATGAGAATTGGTCGTCAGTATTCTATTGGATTTATTACATGTACTGTAAAATAAGTGCCTAACTATACATGTCCATTCTGTTCAATAGAGAGGAAAACAAAGACAGCAGATAAACAGACAATTGCTATGCTGAGAAGTAAAATCTACACCTTAGAACAAGAGCTGGAGCAACAGAAGCTACAGAAGGTTAGTTTTCTCTAATTAAATTAATTAATATACTGATTAGGACTTAATGAAATCATTATATGATTAAGTAACAGGACCAGTAGATGTTAAGGTTGGAATGATCGTTAAATGATTGCATTTCAGAAATTGCTGGGAACATGGAGATTTGACTATCATCTGCGGTACTGCATGATGATTCTATCATTGAAAGACACTTTTGAAACTGTTCATTTTATACTGCACATGTATTAAATGCATGATTTGTTCAGTTCTGAAGTAATCTTATTGATGCATTTGTTTATATTACTTTCTTTTTCAATTCTTTTTGTACTAATTTGAAAGGTTTGGAAAAATTTCAGATTTTCTCCTTATTTTGGATAAAATATTTTTAGAAAATAATTTTCAATCAATACGACTGGTATAGTTTTTGTGGTGGGCTAGGCTGGTCATATGAAAAAAGTATTTATAATAAAACAGAAGATACTTTTCTTTTGTAGACAGGGATATTGCATTATAGTTTTGCTCCTTCTAATCAGTTCTGAAACTAACAAATTATTATTGCTGTATATATTTGATGTCATACACTATCTAAGAATTCTTTTGACATCTAAGAGCTTTCTGTAGGCATGAATCCTAAGTGAAAAGCATGATGCAAGTATTTTGTAATCATTTTCATAAACAGTCATATGATAAACATATTTATTAGGGGGCCATTCTGTGTGTGCCCTATTGTGTTTAGTCTGCCCTTCTGATATTACTTGTCAGGAGCATGTTTTCTCTTGTTTTGGCTCAACTGCAAAGTGAACTTAGGTTGGGAGTAAATAGTTTTATGGTAAAATGTCATGGTCAAAACAAGTCTGTGAAATACTTTTCTGAAACATACAATCAGTATTTCTCCATTTACCAAAGCTAGCGAAATACTTGGCCTAACAAGTTCCTTTACTGGTATGTGCTAGTCTTGATAATAAACCAAATTTGAAGTTGAAAGATCATTGTCAAATCAATTTTTTGTTTAAAATCCATGCCTAGGAGGGAATTCATATGTATTTTCATCCTCAAATCAGTTTAGTTCTCATTCCACAGTGACCTTGATGTAAGTTTCCATGTCAGAGGATATGGTCCCTTCTTACCACATTACATTATTCATGAAAGTGTTATGAATTACACATCTTTAGGAATGTTGAAGTTTAAGAATATTTATGACATAGGAAGAAGAGAAGCAACAGACGAGTGAGGAAGTCAATCATTCAGGTGACTCGGACATTGAGTCACATGACCTGGTGATAGGTTTGAGGACAGAGTTGGAGGAGATGCAGGAACGACTGGATGCTTTAGAGGAGGAGAACAAGGCTCTCTCAGATCAAGTGGTTAGTGTACAGCAGTGTTGTCAAGAGAAAATTCTTATATTATAATGTTAATTTTAATAATTTACAAACATATCTTGTTGAAGGGGGATGTCTATCGGAGAGTATATTAGAGAGAAACATGGTTGAATCGGCAATGATTGTTCAATAAGGAAACAATATCTATGGTAAATTGATTAAAAATACCTACTATGTTTAAAAGAAATCATCTTTTTTCAGCTCAGTCAGCAAGCAGAAGTTTTAAAGAAAATGAGAGCCAAAGAAAATGAGAAGGAAGGGAAACTGCAGAAGGTACAGTTATTAATTGATAAAAATCTCAGATACGAATACCTGTTTAATTTCTTTTTTTTCTAAACTGAAGAATATAAAAAATAGATACTTTTTGGTTGCTCATTGCATTTTTCATTGATTTCTTGACTTTCCTTGTTTAGCAGGCAATGATGAATGGAATAGAAGGTGATGAGGCAGACCCTGACAGAGATGGCAGTTCCATTGGAGATGTATCCACACTAAGGGAAGAAAATCTCAAACTGGTGGAAGAACGGGACAATCTGAAGGTGGATCTGGAGAATCTGCGGGACACGTATGACAAGTTAGTACAGGCAGGAGACAATCTACAGGACATGTATGACCAGCTGTTACTGGAGAAGGACCAACAATGTGAAGAGTTCGAAAAGCTGATGCAGGAGAAGGACGATATTGTGAAAGAAAATGAGTTTCTTCTCTCGGATGGCAATGCTATGCATGACGATCTAGAAAAGCTGGTTAATGAACTGGAAAAACTTCAGGAAAAGTACAAAGAAGTGATGGAAGAAAAAGACGATTTGGAGAGGAAGCTTAGTGCTACAAACTTTTCTGGGAAAGCCAGTGAGATGGCTAAAGTTATGGAAGAAAGAGATAAATTAAAGATTGAGGTCGAGGAACTAAGAACTGAGAATGAGAGTCTGAAACATGACCATGATGTAGTGTTAGAAGAAGTACAGAACGTTCAGGAACAAAACCGACTTCTGCAGAAGGAACAAGACCAGATTCAGGCGGACTTTGAGGATGCCCAAAACGAGATGGACCAGCTTACTCAGAATCACGAGACTTTACAGCAGGATTACAATCAGCTCGAACAGGATTATTCCGAACTGTTACAGGACAAGGACAAACTGGAGCAGGAGTTTCTGGAAGTTCAGACAGCAAGTGTTCAGGTGGAACAGCGCAATCCAATCCTACAGGAAGAAAAGGAGCAACTGCAGCAAGAGAATGAAATTCTGGCCTACGAGAAAGAACAGTTAGAAATGACAATCAAAGAATTGTCCAAAAGTAATGCACTTCTAGAGGAAAGAACCAGTAAGCTCCAACAGGAGCTGTCTAGAACCCAAGAACAGCTTAAAAAAGAAATGGCAGCTCACAGCATTGTGCAATCAGATCCCTCAGCAGCAGATAAAGAGAAGCAGATCAAATCCCTGCAACTCCAGGTTGCACGTCTCCAGCAACAACTAGCTGTAGGTTTTTAAATCTTATCAGTGGTGACAATTCAAAGTTCATCAACTCTTCTGTGATTGTCATGTCCTATAAGTTCAATACCCGGTGGATATTTTTATTTTGTCTGATTTTATACCTTTCTGGTCTAGTCCAACATTGATATTTATAAATATGGTTGTTCATGATTTTGGTTCTGATGTGTTCAAATTATGGTTCAGTTGTGTGTGAAATGACAGCAGTGCATCAGATTGCATGTGATCGTGTTTTCATTGTGTGTGTTTTTTTCTGCATCATCATTGTTATATTGGCCCCTACATTTGCTCCTTGACACAGGCAAGCTGGCTGGCTTTTCCTCCTTTGATCTTTACAGGGTTAAGTGAGCCAGTTTCATCACACTGGGCGATCAGGTAATGGTATTCCAACTGATTGGCTTCGTCTTAATCTGGAGTCTTGTGTTCAGCTTCTAATGTCACCCTGCTTACGTTTTCTTGCATATAACATCGTGTTTGGAGCACAGAGAATGGAAGCCACTAATATTCACTGCATATATCAAGGAATTCATGTTTAAATATTTATATTTTATAATCCAGAATTATAATTTATCCAAGATTTTGAGAGAAAATTGATAATTTGCAGTTTAATTTGTTGGCTATGTTTTTTTTCTTCCAAAATTAAGTGAGAAAATGTAAATACTAAATGTTGGGTGTCTTCTTTCATTTTTGTTTTCAATTGTATAGAATTTAAGGTTAGAAAGTATTTTCACACATCATTAGATCTTTATTTGGTTTTATTTTTCTGTGGTTTCCAAGTTCTGTTTGTTTTTGCTTGTTTGATCACATTGCTGATAGTAACAAAGTTTGGTAGTCCCAGTGATCTAGGTATTTATCATTATCAAAACAAACTGTCTCTCTTTTCAGTTGCCATATTTTGCTTGAAAGTGTGATAGTTATTTTTCATGTATTTGCCAATTATTTTTTGTATTGAGTAATTGAAGTGTTTGCTTTAGATATGTACATGTATAAACTATATTGAAATGCTCTTTGAATGAATGAAGATTCAAACAAAACTAGAGAGAAATCTAGGCACTGAACGCTAACAATATCACTGTGTCCATTGAAATAGAAACCCATTCTTGGGGTAAATTCTGTTGTTGATGTGTAACTGCACATTTCACACACAAAATGCCTGTGTAATGAATACAAATTTAGAATAGGTAGAAATCTACTGAAATTTAACAGAATATGTATCAATATATCCACTTGAAATAATCAAGACAGTATAAATTTTGAAATTTTTAGAGAATTTCCAATTTTATTTTTTTCATTGGATACACACACACACATTCTTAAAAAAAAAATCTTGGACCTTTCTCAAGAAATCTTGAATTTTTGCTTTAATTTCTATCAATTTTAAGTCTATATAGAAACAATTTACCAAGAAGAAATCACAACTAATATTAATCGTTGTGAATTTAATTGATTTGGAAGAATAACATTTATTTGGACAATTGTTTACTATTTATATATTAAGAAAGGCCACCAAGTTTGTGTGACAAATTTCCTATTTCTATTCAGTAGCTTTGTTGTTTTTAAACTAAATTAATTAGAATATACTCCCTAAAACATAAGGAATCTATTGTACTGTATTTGGATTTCTGACTGAATGGTTTGTCTCTATGGTTTGTATAATTATTTCTCAATCTTGGCTACTTTTCAGGAAACTGATCGTCACCACATGGATGTTATCAATACATATAGAACCCACCTAATCAGTGCAGTACAGGTAAGGCAAAGTATGCAACTCAGGTGTTTTACAGTAAAATTTGCATAGTAATAAATTGGATATAGCAAATTCACAGATATAGCTAGTTATCTTGTATCCCCAGCTATATAAATTGAACGAATTCCTTGTACGGATATAAAGAATTATGGATATAGCGAAGTAATTTCATAATTCCAAGTACTTCATTATAACTGAGGTTTAATGTATAAGTCTCCTGTGAGAAAATCATTTGTGTGGTGGACAAAATTGCTGATAACTGTGTTTTTGTTTACATCATTGATGGTATTTCTACATACAAATACATTAGATGATGAAGATGATATATTGGACAATATCTGCATTTATGTTGAAAATGTGGATGATTCTTTTTAGATGTGCATAAATGAATGACATACAAATCTTGACTTTTTCTTTCTTTGTAGGGACATATGGACCCAGATGTTCAGCAGGCTTTATACAACATTATTGAACTCCGGAGCATGGAAGAATACTGCTGAATATGGAAAAGAATTGGTGCTTGCCAAAAAGAAAAAAAAAACAATCTCAAGACTGCCAGCCATGAAGTCAGAAGATCTTCCATTTTTTACGAGAGATAACATTTTTTAGTGCTGTACAGGAGAAGGGGGAGATACAAGTTGATTTCTTGTTTATCGGAGATGGAGTAGGTTGCCAGTTGTTTGAAAAAAAAAATGCTTGCCATATTTTAGTGGATAATAATTCCAGGTAGTTAGTTTTAGTTTAAAAAATTGATATGCAAAGTATTTTTTTATCGAGTTAAAATCTTTAAATTAAAAGAGAAGGCTTTGTTGAATGTATTATGAGTGCTGCAGCAATATATATGTGACCTTTTTAATGTATATAATGAAAGCTTCAGTTTATCCTGTATATTTGTATGAATGGGGTATCTGGTGATGTTGTCACAGGACAATCTTAAGTCTGTTCAATTAATCGCAATAAACTCAGGAAACCTTTGCTAAACCATACTCATTTTATCTAATGCTATATACACATATATTTTCATATGGTGTTAATTTTATACCATTTTTCTAGAAAGACTTAAAGTTGATGTATATGTAGTTTTGAAATGTTGTAACTAAAATTTTATGAGCACTGTTTTAAAGGTTTTTAACTGTCTTTAATGTATCTTTAGGATCTTAGGTGCTGGGTAAATTGAACATTATGTCTCACATGTTGAAATAATTGGGAGGTACTATTAAAAGGTAGCTGATAAACATGAAAAGGATTTCATTTTTTCTAAGGGTAAAATAGGATTTTAAATGACTTAAAAACAGAGCTGAGTTGGAAAAAGATTATACATGTATGTACAGTGAAACTTGTCTATAATCTGAATGTCGTGTAATCCGAAATCTTGCTAAATATGATGTTAACTATAAGTTTATTTCATTAAATTCATTTGTTTAAATTATTCTCTAATCTGGTATGTTGTCTAATCTAGCTATTTTCTTTAGAACCAGTAGTGTTCAGACTAGACAAGATTTACTGTATTTATTCTTGGAATATGAAAAAGGAATACTGCAAACCAATTTTTTTATGTTGAGCATGAAATGTCCACAAGTTTTGTTGCGAACCAATTATTCACCTTTTCATTTATGTAGAATGGTCCCTTAGTCTCAAAAGTAAGTAGTTGCCAAATGGATGCCAAACTGAAGAATTGTGAATAAAAGATAAATGAATAATGGTTGGTTTACAGTCATATGTAACTTAAAGGGGAAGCAAACTACCAAGCCTAGACATTTTTACTTTGCTGGAAAGTGCCACACTAGTACTGTGTATAGTAAAACACACTTATATAAACCAAGTGCAAGGGAGAGACAATTTTTCTTTGTTATAAGCGTAATTTGTTATGTTTGTTAAGTTTATAATACATGTATATTTTAAAGACGAAGGGAATGAAAATCACTGCAGGCATCAATTTGTTGATTATAAGCGTGATTTACTATATAGTATTTATTTCCCATTTATTTAAGAGGGTCTGAAAATGTTACCTCATAGTTGTTTAGGATATTACATACATATTATTATGTGTTTTACTTTTACATGGTCAGCACCTGTCTTTCTATTTTTAGTTTTTAATTTTTCTTTTCTTGTATTGTTGTTTAATATTTATAAAAGACAAATCTATGAGGGATTTCCTTTTAATCAATTATGTGGATGGAACAATTCATGAAAGAAGAGAGATATAATTTTAATAAAGAGTAAATTTACACTATCTCTTAAAGCCAATAAAAAACTTTTAGACTTAATATGTTTAAGCAGACTGTAATTTTTTTTTTAAAGCTCAGTACTTCAAAACTTAAGTCACATAACTAAATGTTAAGAGTTGAATTATAATTTCAAGATGAAAAAGGTTTTTTTTTTTTTTCCAAGTATGATAAGTAAATTAAACTACAGTTATATTTGTATATTTATTGGATGCTAATATTGTTCAGGTGTCAAGGGAAAGGGCTCAGTTACTTTATAGCTCTCTGATATTTATATGTGTATATGGTTTGAAAATTAAAGCCGTCATATGAATAAGGCACCAACAAAAGGAATAAAAACATTCTCTATATATGGTTTGACCTTGTGCAGATGGAATACTGTAAAATCACATATTTTGGTGTTAAATTTTCGTGGTTTGAGGAAAAACTCTTGGTTTGTGGGGATTTGATTTCGTGGATGTAGAATTGTTGAGTAGTAATGTACGTTACATTTTACATTTTGTGGTGGACATAAATTCATGGGTCTCTTCACACTATGAAGACCACAAAAATTAAATCCCACGAAAATATGTGATTTCACATTAAGTACCATTTACGCAATGTAAGGATGATGTTGCTGTGATATATGGATAAGTCTTTAAACATTCCATATTTGTATGTTTACATCCCTTTTTTCTGGGCTTATGAGCAATTGAACAATTTTTTTTCCCCCGAGATTTATTTTCCCACATTCCTTCAGCTTAATTTTGCCAGAATTTTCAACAATATTCTTTTCTTTTTTTTTGAAATCTTTTTAGGATTTGAACATTCTTTTGTGAGGTGTTGACCAAAACTTCATGACCATTCCCAGCAAATATGTACGTTTGTAAATTATTCGTGTAATGCAATAACGAATATATATATATATTTTTTACACAATTTATTTTTGGTGAATTGTCTATTTAATTTTATAATATGTATGAACATAATTCTTAAATAAACAGGAAAGATTACAAGATTTTATTATTTACCAATACTTATTGAAGAAATATATGTCATAGAAGACTTGCTGTTCTGGTTTGTACTTGTAGTAAAAAAAACAAAAATAGCTGACCTTTACTTAAAACTTGGAAGCTATAAAAACAGCAGTTACATTATGTTATTAGCAATGTAACTATGATGTCAAACATTTTGACATGCATCTCAAAGTCATGCTTGAAAAATGGGGAAGATTATTCTTCGGAAAGTCTGAAATTATTTTTTAAAATAATTTTGTCCTCAGAATCGATGCATTGGCAATCCAGGGCCTATTCATTGTCACAAGAGCCAATGCTTATTCAAAATTACATACATAGGCTTTGCAGAAAAGGCTCATGCATGTTTTCTTTGCATTTTATCATCTGCCATGATTTAATGAAAAGAATAAGTATAAACCTGAATTTGGACCTCTGCATATTTTAATAACTACAACTGCACAATTAAAGTACAAAGACTGATTGAAAAAAAAATATATTTTCTCCTTTGAAACAAAATGTTTAATATCTTATAAAAACAATTTTCTTTCTCTTTTTTTGTCAGCAGACATCTTTTCCAGCAGCCTACAACAACAAATTAAAAAAATAGTTGAGAAACATTTAATTTACATCGTAATCATAGAAATTATAATTCATAATTTTGCATATGTATCTATGATGGCTAAAATGTTACGTTTGTTTTGAGGAGAGGAAAAGATAACTATATAGCATTATGATTTTTTATGTTTAATATCATTCAAATTTTAAAGACTAAGTACAGATAAAGTGAATATTTGTACATGTATGAAATAATATATGCAAAGGGGGCTAGGAACTGTTTCTTTACATACAAATAAGAAAACATATTAAAAAGTTTTTAAGGTAATTGAACAATACCTTGAAATAATCTATATGAAAAAAGAAAAGTGTCCTTGGGCCAAACCAACCATCATCATCATCATCATCATCATCATCATCATCTTCAATCAAAGGCTGAAAATATACAATAAAGAGAAATTATATAGTAGCCATATTCTTATTGATAAAAAGATATAAATTGGACAACATTAATTGAAGGTGAATTTTTGAACACTTAATATTATAAGTCCATATCAGTTTTTAAATTAAATGTACCTTTAATGTTTTCTCCTGATCCTTGGAGGCGTCTTGCTTTTGGCTGACTGGTACAATAACTTCTTCATCACACACATAGGATCTCTCTCCAGACAAATCAACATTACATGCTGGTGATATCATCTCTGACAAATCCTTATCATCATCAGTTGATGTTTTTGCTGACAAATCTTCATAATATGTTGGTGACATCTCTTCTAACAATTCTTCATCATGTGCTACTGCCTTCTGTGCCAGTAATTCTTCATCACATGCACTTTTCTTCACTCCCTCCTCTTTATATGTTGGTATCATCTCTGACAATTGTTCATCATATTTATTAGCATTTTCTTTGGAAAATTCCTCAACACAGTTTATCAGGTGCGGTTGAGTTGAATTCGGACAAATAATCATCACTTACTGGTGTCTTTTCCAATGATTCATTAACACACACTGGTGGCATCTCTTCCTGTTGTGCTGTTTCCTCTCCTGACATTTCTTCATGTTGTGCTGTTTTCGCTCCTGACATTTCTTCATGTTGTGCTGTTTTCGCTCCTGACATTTCTTCATGTTGTGCTGTTTTTGCACCTGAAATTTCTTCATGTGCTGTTTTCGCTCCTGATATCTCTTCATGTTGTGCTGTTTCCTCTCCTGACATTTCTTTATGTTGTGCTGTTTTTGCTCCTGACATTTCTTGATGTTGTGCTGTGTTCGCTCTTGACATCTCTTCATATTGTGCTGTTTTCTCTCCTGACATTTCTTCAAGTTGTGCTGTTTTCTCTCCTGACATCTCTTCAAGTTGTGCTGTGTTCACTCCTGACATCTTTTCATAATGAGCTGTTTTCTCTTCTGACATCTCTTCATGTTGTGCTGTTTTCACTCCTGACATCTCTTCATGTTGTGCTGTTTTCTCTCCTGACATTTCTTCATGTTGTGCTGTTGTGACATTTCTTTTTGCTGTTTTCACTCCTGACATCTCTTCATGTTGTGCTGTTTTCTCTCCTGACATCTCTTCATGTTGTGCTGCTTTCGCTCCTGATGTTTCTTCATGTTGTACTGTTTTCTCTCCTGATATCTCTTCATGTTGTGCTGTTTTCTCTCCTGACATCTCTTCATGTTGTGCTGTTTTTGCTCCTGACATCTCTTCATGTTCTGATGTTTTCTCTCCTGACATCTCTTTGTGTTGTGCTGTTTTCGCTCCAGATATTTCTTCATGTTGTGCTGTTTTTGCTCCTGACATCTCTTCATGTTGTGCTGTTTTTGCTCCTGACATTTCTTCATGTTGTGCTGTTTTCTCCCCTGACATTTCTTCATGTTGTGCTGTTTTCTCCCCTGACATCTCTTCATGTTGTGCTGTTTTCGCTCCTGACATCTCTTCATGTTGTGCTGCTTTCTCTCCTGACATTTCTTCATGTTGTGCTGTTTTCGCTCCTGATATCTCTTCATGTTGTGCTGTTTTCGCTCCTGACATTTCTTCATGTTGTGCTCTTTTCTCTCCTGACATCTCTTCATGATGTGCTGTTTTCTCTCCTGCAATCTCTACATGTTGTGCTGTTGCCTCCCCTGACATCTCTTCATGTTGTGCTGTTTTCTCTCCTGATATCTCTTCATGTTGTGCTGTTTTCTCTCCTGACATCTCTTCATGTTGTGCTGTTTTTGCTCCTGACATCTCTTCATGTTGTGCTGTTTTCTCTCTTTGCATCTCTTCATGTTGTGCTGCTTTCTCACCTGACATTTCTTCATGTTGTGCTGTTTTCACTCCTGACATCTCTTCATGTTGTGCTGTTTTCTCTCCTGACATCTCTTCATGTTGTGCTGCTTTCGCTCCTGATGTTTCTTCATGTTGTGCTGTTTTCTCTCCTGACATCTCTTCATGTTGTGCTGTTTTCTCTCCTGACATCTCTTCATGTTGTGCTGTTTTTGCTCCTGACATCTCTTCATTTTGTGCTGCTTTCTCTCCTGATGTCTCTTCATGTGCTGTTTCCTCTTCTGACATTTCTTCATGTTGTGCTGTTTTTGCTCCTGACATTTCTTCATGTTGTGCTGTTTTTTCTCCTGACATTTCTTTATGTTGTGCTGTTTTCTCTCCTGACATTTCTTCATGTTGTGCTGTTTTCTCTCTTAAAATCTCTTCATGTTGTGCTGTTTTCACTCCTGGCATCTCTTCCTGTTGTGCTGTTTTCTCTCCTGACATTTCTTCATGTTGTGCTATTTTCGCTCCTGACATTTCTTCATGTTGTGCTGTTTTCACTCCTGACATTTCTTCATGTTGTGCTCTTTTCTCTCCTGACATCTCTTCATGATGTGCTGTTTTTTCTCCTGACATCTCTTCATGTTGTGCTGTTGCCTCCCCTGACATCTCTTCATGTTGTGCTGTTTTCTCTCCTGATATCTCTTCATGTTGTGCTGTTTTCTCTCCTGCAATCTCTACATGTTGTGCTGTTTTCGCTCCTGACATCTCTTCATGTTGTGCTGTTTTCTCTCCTGATATCTCTTCATGTTGTGCTGTTTTCTCTCCTGCAATCTCTACATGTTGTGCTGTTTTCGCTCCTGACATCTCTTCATGTTGTGCTGTTTTCTCTCCTGATATCTCTTCATGTTGTGCTGTTTTCTCTCCTGCAATCTCTACATGTTGTGCTGTTTTCGCTCCTGACATCTCTTCATGTTGTGCTGTTTTCTCTCCTGACATCTCTTCATGTTGTGCCTTTTTTGCTCCTGACATCTCTTCATGTTGTGCTGTTTTCGCTCCTGACATCTCTTCATGTTGTGCTGCTTTCTCTCCTGCAATCTCTACATGTTGTGCTGTTTTCGCTCCTGACATCTCTTCATGTTGTGCTGTTTTCTCTCCTGATATCTCTTCATGTTGTGCTGTTTTTGCTCCTGACATTTCTACATGTTGTGCTGTTTTCGCTCCTGACATCTCTTCATGTTGTGCTGTTTTCTCTCCTGATATCTCTTCATTTTGTGCTGTTTTCTCTCCTGCAATCTCTACATGTTGTGCTGTTTTCGCTCCTGACATCTCTTCATGTTGTGCTGCTTTCTCTCCTGACATCTCATCATGTGCTGTTTCCACTTCTGAAATCTCTTCATGTTGTGCTGTTTTTGCTCCTGACATCTCTTCATGTTGTGCTGTTTTCTCTCCTGACATCTGTTCATGTTGTTCTGTTTTTGCTCCTGACAACTCTTCATGTTGTGCTGTTTTCTCTCCTGACATCTGTTCATGTTGTTCTGTTTTTGCTCCTGACAACTCTTCATGTTGTGCTGTTTTCTCTCCTGACATCTCTTCATGCTGTTCAGTTTTCTTCTCTCCTGTTACTGTTACTTGTTTGGAGGTTTCTGTAATTGGGGTTAATTTGTCTCCAGATGCTTTCTTTGTATGATCTCTTTTAATCATCTGTTTGGTAGACTCAGCAGTCTAAAGAAAAAGTGAAAAACATAATTACCTCTATAAAATGTAAATTTTGTAAGGATCATAATTATGTTAAGCTTTTTTCATAATTTTCATTTTTTTTTTATTAATTAACACACATTTATTTTAATTCATTATTAATATGAAACTTAAATGAAAATTAAGAAACTTTTAACTGAAGCAAAACTTATATTCAATTAATTATAATTAACTGAAAGATTGCTATTTTACCTCCAGTCTCTGTTTCTGTTGTTTTATATGCACCTTTGCATGCTTCCTTGCTCTGTGTTGTTTTCTGTTCATTTTCTCTGGTTGTTTTCTGTAATTTATATGACATATTTAATAAATTGTGTTATTACAACCAGACATTGATACATACACCTTTTATGATGTTGTGTTTGGGACAGTTATTGTACCATACCTGTTGTGATTTTTGTAGCCATCTCTCTTCTCCTCCCCTCCAAGTTCTTTTTCTACTTTCTTCATCCCATTCTGCTGGTTTTGTCCTTCCTATTAAAAGATGTGAGTGAAAATATGATCTTGCATCAGTTTGAAGGGTATTACATATCTTTTTTGGGAGGAAAATCTTTCAAAATGTCGTTATAAATGAAAACTATACTGTAGTTTTTCCAAAAAAAATATTAAATAAATAATTTTTTGTACAAAAAGATGGAAGTTCTTTTTTTATTTACTGACATGCAAGTAAATTAGATTCGTCATATACAGTTGAACTTCAGTATCTCAAACACTGATATGTCGAATGTCTCGAAGTTTTTTCTCGATCCCTTTGAGTTGGAGATACCGAAGTTTGACTGTATATATATATGTAAATATATATTTGTAGGACTCCAAAGTGCGACGGGACTCCAAAGTCCGATGGTCACGCCAAAGTCCGATGGTCTACGTCAGACCCCGATGGTTTGACCCCGATGGTGCTGAAAACAATTTACGTTTATGACGTCATAATACTAATGCGGCAAACTATAATGCTGCACCATGCCAAAATTTTAAATAAGCATTAATAATTATCATTATGCAAAAACTAACCCTTATCTCTCGGATAGGTACTTACATGTACCTAGCCCCAATCGCTCGAAAAGTGGGTGGGCCTAACATCTATATAGATACTTAGATATCTTGGGTGTGTGCGATACTAACCCTAATAACTCGACTAGTGTGCGTCTTTAGGACTAACCCTAAATCAATAAAACTAAAAGGACTAACCCTAATCAGATGAGTGGTGTGCGAGGATTAATCCTAATATCTCTGAAACATGTAAACAATACACAATATGAATAAAAGCGTATGCAAGGATAAATTCGGAAATTATGGCATTTGGTTGAATGCAGGGAAACGGCGTCAAAGATTTACGTCGAATTATTGTGACGTCATAAACGTCGATTGTTTCTCCACACCATCGGACTTTGGCGTGTCAGACCATCGCACTTTAGCGCAGCGTGTCTCATAGGAAATGAGTCATCGGACTTTGGCGTGACCATCGGACTTTGGCGTCCGTACCGACAACAAACCATCGGGGTTTGGCGCAGACCATCGGGGTTTGGCGAGACCATCGGGGTTTGGCGTCACCATCGGACCTTGGAGTCTTACATATTTATATATATATTTAAGTAATTTATATCTGTACCTCCATATGTCTTTCCTCCTCTTCAACCGCATCTGACCAGTTGTAACTGAACTTTAATATCTGAAGTTTTGTATCCTGGAAAAAGTACACATTAATTGTGAAACAGAGTCATGGATGCACAGAGCATTTCCGAAAAGGGAGTTTATCAGAATCTAAAGACCAAATCAAGCTTTTAGTTAGGAAACAAATATGAGCGAGGATGCTCCCCATCTTTGAAAATAGTTAATTAAAAAAATTATTCTGCTACTGTATACATTATAATTATAGATATGGCTAATATAGTAGCTTTGTATCACTTAATGGTTTGGATTAGGGTGTGTTGGTGCCTGTTAAGCATCTACATCTATACATATAACTGAGCTTACCACATCTGTGACAGGGTTCTCTCCAAAATCTAGAACTTCGTTGTAGTCCATGGTATTTATTCTACAAAAAAGGAAATTACGTCAGAATTACTAGATGTTGTCCTATTACAAGTAATCTAAATGATCTGACTAGATATAATTGCATGACTTGTAAGTTGTTTTGTACCTTAAACTACATGTACCTTCTATCTTATTTTTGTTATAGTCATGAATCTTACGTCATGCTAATTGTTGCATTTTGGTAATCATAACATCACATGTAGACACATGCATTCTCTATGCTAACTATCTGATTCTAGTTAAATTGGAACAGTAAGGGGGGCATACAATCCCTAGCAACCATGCAATATCAAAGTGAATGGAAAAAGTTTTAAGTAATAAGAAAGTGTGGAGGGGGTGGCATTCTCTTCAAAATCAAAGATTTTACATATTTGTAAGTTAACAATCCTGAAGAGTTGAAGAATATGAACCTTATTCCTTCCCTTTTGTGACACCTAAGCTGCAAAGTCAGCAGATAATACAGAAATTATTAACATATTGCATCTCTTTTCTAAAAATAAAAGCAATTTTATCAATTTATCACCTTCAGTGTTTGTACAGTACCTTTTGTGATTTGTGTTGCAATCTTTCTTCTCCTCCCCTGCAATTTCTTTTTCCAGCTTTTTCTCCGTTTCTTTTTGCTCCTTTTGTTCCTCCTGTTATATAAATGTACATTTGGTAAGTAATAAACATCATCATGAATTAGTACATAATGAATACAGCTGTATTTTTTTTTTCCAAACAAATTCTATCAAAATGTGGTTTATTGATAATTATTCTGTAACTATTAAAGTTGTAAAACAAGTGCTACTCTGGAGTATACATGTATAGGATCACTTATTTTAATAAAAAATCTTTCAAAATTACCTTATAATTGATAACTATACTGTAGATTTGCCAAAAAAATGTTACTTCAAAAAGAATAACATTGTACATCATAAAACTTTTATTACAGTATGGTTTTCATTTGCTGTAATGCAAGTAAATAAGGTTCAGTAATATATATCTGTACCTCCATACGTCTTTCCTCCTCTTCAACTGCGTCTGACCAGTTGTAGCTGAATTTTAATATTTCAAGTTTGGTGTCCTGAATAAACAACAACACATTTATAGTGAAACAGAGTCATGGATGCACGGAGCATTTCACAGAAGTGGGTTGTCAGACTAGTACTAAGACTAGTACCGGTAAGTCAAGCCTTTTGTACAATGGTAAATAAACATTATTCTACTTCACTATATACTTGTACATATGCATAGCTTGTATAATAGATTTAAATAAATTGGTATTCAGCGAATATAGATAAGTGTGTGTGCTTGTTCAGCATCTTCCTCTACATGAATATATAACTGAGCTTACCACATCTGTGACAGGGTTCTCCCCGAAATCTAGAATTTCATTGTAGTCCATGGTATTCATTCTACAAAAAAGGAAATTATGTCAGAATTACTAGAAATATGGAATGCTGTCCTATCACAAGTTATCTACACTAAACGTATCTACTGACTTACCTGCGTGTTTTTTATTCTCTATCTGATTTTTGTTATAGTGATGATTATTACGTCATGCCAATTGTTGCGTTTTAGTGACTATGACGTCACTTGTGGATATACTCGCAATCCCCCCCTTTTTTCACAAATTAAAAAATCCCGAAAAGTTGAAGAACACGGCCCTTATTTTTTCCCTGTTGTGACACCCAAGCTGCAAAGTCAGCATATATAATACTGAAATGATGAAAATGTATTGATGCTTCTCTCAAAAAAAAAAAAAAAGCAAATTTATCAATTGTGCCCGCTGGGTCACTTATTTTAATGATACCTTTTGTGGTTCTTGTTGCAATCTTTCTTCTCTTCCCCTGAAATTTCTTTTTCCATCTTCTTTTTCATTTCTTTTTGTTGCTTTTGTTCTTCCTATTTTATAAAAGTACATTTGAATAGCAATAAATCAAGAATCAGTCCGTAGTTAATATCAGCCGACATAATTTTTTCAAAGAAAAATCCGAAAATTCCGAATGTTGTTAAATGATATTTTTCTGTAGTTTTGTTTAAACCTATGAACTGTATGCTTCTTGGTAATAAACAATAAAAGACAAAAAAAAATGCTATTTAAATATATATATATATATATATTTTTTAAAAATATGCAATTTAAAACTGTTTCTCAAAAAGATATTTTTAAAGATACAAATAAGCTTAAGTTCTACAAATAAGCTTAAGTTCAAGTATAAATCGGTATTTTATATTTTACCTCCATACGTCTTTCCTCCTCTTCAACTGCGTCTGACCAGTTGTAGCTGAATTTTAATATCTCAAGTTTGGTGTCCTGAAAAAAAGCATTGAAGTAATAAATTAATGCAAAAAAGATTGACATTTCAAGAAAGTGTTGGGTAGATTTTTTGAATTTCAGACAAAATTTTGCATTTTCACTGGAAATAAAATGATACGGACATAAATGTTATCATATAAAAACATCCGCTACTAGTATGATAGATTATTATTTGACAATTAAGGTAATGGTGCCTATGAAGCATCTATACATGGAACTGAGCTTACCACGTCTGTGACAGGGCCATCCCCGAAATCTAGAACTTCGTTGTAGTCCATAGTTTTCATTCTAGAAAAATAAAGGACATTAATTGTGCCAAATTGTTACACTTTAGAAATGTATTTAAACTCATAATCAGTTCGTGTTATCAAAAGAAATGTAAATGAGCTGAGTATAAAAAGATCTTTACCTCCGTGTTTTGCACGCTCTTTCCAATTGTTGTTGTAGTGATAATTATGACGTCACACTTATTGTTGCGTTTTAGTAATTATGACGTCACAGATAGATGTACATTTTGGGGGTTGCAAACCTGCTGCAATTTATAAAATTGAAGGAAAAAATAAAATGAGAAAAAGTGGAGGAACATCCTTTTCAAAAAATCCCCAAAAGTCAAAGAAAGCGACCTTATTTCTTCCCTGTTGTGATATAGAAATAATGAACGTGTTAAGTTTAAAACCTGCAGTTACAAGGTATAGTGATCGCTGACTACATTTGCATCTCGTTTTACTCTCACATCCTACAGAGACCTTTTCCATTTCCCTCCATGTGTTATCCATGTGGAAATGACGTTCAATCGGGAGTCCTATAACCAAAATACTCCGTAAGATGTCCACCTTCTTCATTCATGGTACAACAACCACATGTAACTAGTAAGGTTGTCTTGGGCAATGGCCTATTTTGCATTAGGACGATTTCCACCTTAGTTTGGACTTTCAATAAGCGTGGCATTCTTGACGTTCTGAATTCCTTTACTGTTGAAATATACATGGGATAGAAATTCGGGCAAATGCCAATTAGTGTATCGTATAACCAACATTGTCTCCTCCGGCAAAGAGGTGGGGCTTAAGTCGACAACAATTTAAAGTTCCTGATGTTATTAATTTCTTAACCAAGGAGAATCTATTCGCCATTTGACAGAGGCTAATTACATAGCGCCGAGAATGCCACGCCTTACTGAAAGTCCAAACTAAGGTGGAAATCGTCCTAAAATCAAGGTTACGTTTAAAGAGGCTGGGGGGGGGGGGGGGGGGTGTCAACAAATTAACAATTAGATGTAATCAATTTTTTTTAGATACGATATCCTAAGCTGTCAACTATCATTTGGCAAAGAAAAATTTCATACATTTTAGCTTCAAGATTTGATCATTTTTGCATATCTTTATATGGAGCTCTTCTTCTATACATTAATATAGTCTTTTAACCACACGCATTTGGTATTATTTAAAATGTCTCAATATTTTTTTTTTTTAATGTCGGAATATCCCAATTAATAAATCACCTACGATATATTGTTTCGGTATAATAAAACAGTTATGAAATGGGTACTTTGGATATATTAGATTTATGGTTCCCCTCGGCAGGAAACAATTTCCCTCGACGGCATATCAGTAAATAGCGGGTTTTCTTGGCGGGTGTAAAATTTGGCGTTTTGCCTCTTCAAAGATAGGCAAATAATTTTGGCGTAATTTATTTTAGCAGACACAGTTTCAGCTCTTTGCAGATAAACACTAAGAAGAGTACTGACTATTTTAGCAATTAAAATTTTAGCGGCTACCATCAAAACGCCAAAATAAGCTAAAATTAGCACCCCTCTAAAATAACCTGCTCTACTGTAGTTTTCTCCCAAGGGGAACCATATATTATCTATTTACCTTTTACCCATTCCATAACTGTATATTAATACCTGGTACATTGTAGCCCAGATCCTGTAACACTAGCTAAATCAGAACTGTATTACAAATGAGTATAAAAATGCTATGGTAGAAAGGCTTATTTCAGGAAGGAAGTTGATTAAAAAAAAGTCATTTTATTTTTACATTTAATTTATTTAATATGAAACAGGGTAAAAAGAACATGTATATATATAATATAAATGAAACATGTTTGGATTTACACAAATAAAATTATAATTTTATAATATATATACAGACAAATATACATCTCAAAGGTGTTTCAAATTCACAGACAACTTTGTTTCAATAATGACATTTTTTTAAAACATGACATAAGAACCTGAACATTATGCAGTTTGAACAGTGTTGAAATTCAACAAAATATTTGCATTAGCACCTATTTATGAGGCAGAATATTTCAAATATATTTTAACAATAACACTTACTATAAGGTGACATCATAACCAAATACATTTTAACACATTTGCACAATAATTATATACTCTGAATGTGTGGAGCAGATATAATTCTGTAATCCAAAAAGACACATTTGGCTTACTAAAACAAAATTTCATCTAAAAATGCTTCTGATACATGTATGTAAATGGCTCAATTAATCAGCTTCAGAATTATTATGGCAACAAAAAATAGATATTCCAACCTGTATGATGGTTTTGATTTTATTTACACAGTTGCAGAAATTCATGAAAAACAAGAGATGTTTTTTATTCCCCCCAAATTGGAAAATCCAAAAGGGCATAACTCTGTCAAAAATTATACAAAACAAAGATATTGCTGATATATCTGTATACTAAATTTCATTTCAATATGTGCAACCTCTGCAAAGAAAACGAATGGAAACTGCAAATAAGTGGAATTTTTCCGAGTCCAAGGGGCATAACTCTAAAAAAAAAAGGATGCGATCGTACCCAAAACAGAACTGTACCTAGATATTTATCTGTATACTAAATTTCATTTCAATATGTGCAACCTCTGCAAAGAAAATGAATGGAAAATGCAAATAAGTGGAATTTTTCTAAGTCCAAGGGGCATAACTCTAACAAAAAGGATGCTATCGTACCAAAAACAGAACTTGACCTAGATATTTATCTGATATATCTGTATACTAAATTTCATTTCAATATGTGCAACCTTTGAACGGAAACTGCAAATAAGTGGAAATCCAAGGGGCATAATAATTCATACCCAAAACAGAACTTGACCTAGATATTCTGCTCATAAATCTGTATACTAAATTTCATTTCAATATGTGCAACCCCTGCTAAGAAAATGAATGGAAACTGCAAATAAATGGAATTTTTCTAAGTCCAAGGGGCATAACTCTGTCAAAAATGGTGTGATCGTACCCAAAACAGAATTTAACCTAGATATTCACCTGATAAACCTATATACCAAATTTCATTTTAGTATGTGCAACGGTTGTGAAGAAAATGAACGGAAACTAAATCAGCTGGTGACCAACCGACCGACGGACAGCAGCAAAGCAATATGCCCTCCCTTCTTCGAAGGGGGGCATAAAAATATTGGGTACTGCATTGTACACCATTTCATTTCTTACAATTTTCAATAATTTTGTTTGTTGATTTACCACTGAAGTTGTGGAGACTTAATTAAAACTAATATTTTGTTCTTAAGCATCTAAATAACTAGTATTTTGTGACCATATCAGCTGGTGATCCTGGGTAAAATTCTAAGATTACACTACAGAACTTGATCATTTAGAAACTCAGATATTGCATCCTGGGTAAATTCCTTACATCAGTCATCCAAAACAACAGAGCAGAATTAAACATCTGTTAAAAGATATTTAAGACTTAACACTAAAATCTCTCTGTACACTGGTAAAACTGCAGATGATTTCCAGATCCAATTTTATTCCAAAACAAGCAATTAGCCAAATAAGTATACAATTTACACTCATTTGGTTAAATGATGAATATTGATTTCCAAAGATATCTCCAGAACACAAATTTATAGGTTTCTTTTTGCTTTCACAATTATATCACTTTTTTTTAAGTCAGAAAACTTCAAAATGGTTCAATTTTTCTTCATTGTAGCTATATTTACATTCAACCTGCAGTATAAATAGCTTACCAAACAGAGCAGCCTATTTGATATGTACCCTTTTTGTATGAAAGACTTGATTATCACAGAAATTCTTTATACATCAATGAAAGAATGAAAAGAATAAGTGTGTGCATAAAAATCCAGACAATCTGACCTATCAACATTCAAAAAGATGTCATTTAATATATTTTGCAAGTGGGATATTACATGCCAATGCCTTTGAAATAGTAATATTAAACTAGAAATGAATGCCTTGTCCAAAGTTAAACATAAAATAGGGTATTTGTGAAGTAACTGGGAAAATCAAACCACTGTTGAATATAGCTCTATTCAACATTTAATAGTGTGATTTTTCAATGAAGCAATCCCCCCGCCCCCAAGAAAATTTTATCATTTTAGTCAATGACCTCTCTTCTATATATCCATCCCTTGAAATTTGCCTGACAGGAAACTATTACTAAGTTTTCCACTTTTTTTTTTCAAATTGTTAACTTTAACAAATTATGTCAATATTATCAAAGAAATAATAAAAATGCTTATTTAACCTACAATCAAAACTGGATTGCTACCAGAATATACACAAATAATATCAGAAGTCCACCTGACTGCATGGTTCACAGTTTTAAAAAATGCAAACATGCATTAAATTGCATTTTAAACTATGAAAACAAATAGAAACCACGTAATAAACACAAAAAATAACACGTCTACACATAATACATAACAGTTTTATATACATCATATAATACCCCATGAAATCCATTTTTTGACAGTTACTATAACAATATAACAAATAAGAAGGGGGAGTTTTGTGTCAACTTTTTGACTGTGGTTTACCAAAGTACACCACCAATAAGACAACCACACCAATGACAGCTAGAAAAACAAAACACGCAAGCACCAGGCGAATGACTTTGCTCCGGTGTTTTTTGGCTAACTCACGATCTATATCTTTGTAGGTGGCATCGCTAGTGATGTTTTCAATGTCCTCTATTCCCTGCTAATAAAAGGAAAAATAATTTAATACTAAGTATCTGAGTGAGAATTCTGGTAGTTCAAAGTTAACAATATCTGCAGAAAGTTCTGGTTTATCATTTGGTCAGATAAGCTAAGAACATCAATTAAAATTCTAAAACAGTTGCATATAAGTAGCCAGTTAAATGTATGAAGTTTAATACACTAAAAATACAATCATGGTAGAAATCATGGATGATTCACACTTTTAGATTTGTTCATATATTAAAATCAGATTTACATGTAATTACTATGATATGAAAATTCAGCTTTATTTATTAGATATTCAGGTTACACAATTGGTTAGAGATAGTATTATTCCTCTCCAGACAGTAGTTTGTAACAGAAATTTGAATGATTGCTAAAGACCCAATGAGGGAGTCATGACCTTATTCTATGATCATTTTGGCAAGTTCAAGGTCAGTGATACATTACAAACCATTGATCTAAACTATATAGTTGAATAAGTTGATACTACATGTACTATATAATTGCACTCACTAGTTTTGCTCGGGACAACGATGTCCTTGTTGTGACTGGGGGCAGATCCCCTGATCCTATCACATACTCCTTCATGTAACCTGGGATGTTCAGTTCACTCAGCTAAAACACAAAGTTAATCCAAATTCTTGTTAGGAATCAAATATACAAAGGAGGACAACAGACAGACTGATAATAAAAAAATCTTTAAAAAAATGATCAAGGATTAGTCCAGTGGTTATTTTTTTTTATTTTTTTTATTTTTAAAAGGATTTTTCCTATAAATTTAATAAATATGTGGTTTCTGAATTTTATTTTCGATTTTTGAATGAAATTTGGCAGTCTCCGACAAAGATGAAAATAACATACTATAAGGGCAGGCCACATCCTTTCTAACCTTTTCCAAAAAGAAATTCCTTACCTGACTATTGGTGTCACTAGTGTTAGAGAAATGTAGGACTTTTTCATCATCCGTCAGACTGATTTCAAATCCATTGTCATCCACAAACACAGGGTTAGAATTGGCTGTTCCGTTCTTTTTCTCTTTGCGATATTTGTTTGGTTTGTTTTCATTGAACACTGTGTCATCAGAAAATTTGACACTTTTCTGCTCTGTTATAGAGGAGTTTAAGTGATTTGCATCAGAGTTTGCACTAGAACTTGCATCAGAACATGTGGGAATTAAGATGGGCTTTTTAGGTTTCATAGCAAGAGAGTTCAAGATGTGGTCTGGAAGAGAATTCTTCCTTTCTTTAACTTTTTTCTTGCTTGAGTTTTTCTTGGATTTCTTTGATTTTTTGGGATCATTCTGTTCATCTAGAAAACCAACTTCATCATGTTTTAAGTTTCCATTTGGAATTTTCCCATTGTGGAGTCCATTTGAGTCTGGTTTCCCATTGGTTAAAACACTATTCTGTTTTTCCTGAGGTAAAGTTCCATTTTCCTCTCCATGGGAAACAGACTTGTGTAGTTGTTCGTTTTTACATTGCACTGTTTCACAGGAATTGGTTTCTTTGGATTCAACCAAATCATCAATATTTGGCCAATCAGAGTTTTCCTCTCCTGTTTTTAAACTTCCATTCAATACTGTTGCATTCCCATTGGTTAAATTCTTATTTCCTCCCCATAAATGTTTTCCATTTCTCTCAGATTCATTCACACCCTTGACACTTTCTAGCTTTATTTCATCCAGTTCCTGTTTAAGCAATGCTGCTTGCTTTTTCTGGTCCATGCTCAGGACATTGTTATTATCACTAGCATCAGAATCACTGTGCAAGTTCTCTCCCTTGGCCATTTTCTCCAATTCCAATATGACATCTTCTTCATCAAGAAAAGTGTTTCTATAATCTGTTTCTAAAATGATATCACCGACAACAACCTCACCATTTGTCACTTTCAGACTTTCCCGTTGCATATCTTTCTCCTGGCCTGAAACTGTTACCCTGACAACAGAGCCGGTGAAGTTAGGGTTTTCTTCTCCTGAAGGTAGAAAAGGGGGGTCTCCAAAATCTACATTTCTCTGCCTTTTTAAAGGAAAGCTGTTGTACACAGTGATGTTAAAATCATTCGCTGACACTTCAGTTGTTTCAGTACTTTTTTGTTTTTCATGATAAATGGGATTACTTTTCACTCCTTCGAGTCTTTTGCCAGATATCTGTCCTTGAAATATTGCCTGAAAAACACCAAAGAATTTTAATTAAAAATGATATATTTGAAACTCATATCTGTGTGCACATGTTGATTGAACACACTCTTCCAATATTTGACCTTTTCACCGGGATATAAGTTTTCAATAATCACCTGAAAATTAGAAGTTATAAATTACTTTTCTTTTGAAAATGTTCTCATTGGCTGTTTGTAATAATTATAAGTCATGGCTACAGCTACCTACACAACTCACAATTTACATTTCTGACTGGTGACCATCTATTATCAATCAAAATTTTCACCACATGAACACAATTTATACCTATGACAAAACTGATCCATCTTCCTGTGACTTATTACTAAAAAACTTGAACACAATCCACAAAGAGTTCAAAACCAACCACTCAATAAATGAAAATTTACTTTGTAAATGTTATGTACTCTTTCTCCTATGAACAGCTGTGTATAAATACAAAGATTTATATTTTAGATGTCCAAAGCCACATTGATATATTTTCTGTATAACTAAAGCTTCAATATCATTAAAGGTCACATATATCATACCTACTGGATCAAGTTGCATTTCATATAAGCAATTTTTTCCTTAATAAAATTCTTTTTTCCCTTTTTTTTATATTATTGACAGATTCTTGTAACTAGTACAAAACTGGGTTTAATCATTATTTTATCAACTAATAGCTTAGAAACGTATTACCATCAGTAAATGAAAAGTTAAATTATAGGTGCATCAGATTACAATTACGTCTCTGAATTCATACCTTGTCGTTGATATCAAATCTTGAGGAAGCATCATGAGCAATATATATTGGCGGCATTATCAACAATGCAAGTATTAAACAGCATCCAAAATAGATTTTTTTTCTTTAAATTAATCTAAACACCACAATTTCAATTAATATCTGTTAAAGCATTTGACCATAAACTGTAATCTGTGTTGATCTACAACAGTCTACCACAACTTTTGATTATTGTTTTACATTATGTTCTATACCATTAAGAAATCAAAGATCAAGAGATGTGACATTGAGTAAAACACCTCAGGAACTCAAATTCAAAGGATCAAAGTGACAGGTATTGATCCCTTTGATTGGTTGGACTTCAATTCACACATTTCTTTTGTCCACTTTGATTGGTCAAGCATCATTCAACACTGTTTTTACAAGAGGACAATACTTTAGCTGACACTTCATATCACATTGTCTGGTCAAGTCATACTCTACTTACATCTTCCTAATTACACCTTGTACACTATAATTATACCATCAACTATACAAAAATCAAAACATATATATTTCAATTACCAAGAGAGACTAATGGCTCATATAATGCACATGTGACTGCATGGCAAAGGTTAAGGCTTGGTTTTCCAGCTTTTTCTCATATCTCAAATATAAATATTTCAAATGCCTCTGTCAAAGTGAGAGGAATCAAGCCTTTTCAAAACATTAATTTCTTCAATCCTGGATCATCTCAAATTTTGATCTCAGTTTGATTAAGTTTGAGATAATAAGATTAAATTTATTTATACTCTGATGATTTTAAGTCTTATAGATCTCTAAATACTGTGAGGTAGACAGTCAATAATTGTGCCCTAATCTATATACCGGGTATTCCTTACAGATATTATAATGCTAATCATGTCTTTGGTTCTATTCCGAGATAAAACTTCTAAAATGAGAAACCCTTAAGGATATGCATGACAAAGGTCCATAACTCTGTCAAATATCAAAGATTTAGCCTTGCTATCATGAGTATAAAGAATACTGCAAGAGAGAATATAAAGGACATGCACCGTTTTTTTTTTTAAATTTCAGTTATGACCAAACTATAACAGCTCTGCCATGGTCCTAGGAGGGATTCATAAATAAATCATTGAAATCCAATTATACTTTGTAACATGCCTGAAAAGGAAAAAGCAGCAATAAATTAAAGTTCGAGTGATTGACTCAATGTTCAGCCAGATGTAAACAGAAAAATTAAAGTTCTGTTCAGTATAATTGGGGGCACATACATCAATTGTCTTGCATGGACAAAAATTTTTTGACAAGCAAAAAAAAAGCAAATCGTCAAACCAACAAAAAGGTAAGCAAATGTTATTTAAAATGATGTATAATCTTTCATTTCTATGCTCCTATTTACAAAATTTGCTTAATGAAGCGTTATATCAACTTATAATACATCGGCCTAACCCATTGTTCAAAGAGATGTAGCTGCTATCTAAAACTGGTGTTTTTTCTATAGTGTTCTATATATCAACAAAATTATTGTTACATGGGGCAATTATTAATAATCTAAAACAACTCCAATAAATGTGCAACCAAAAAATAAAAATGTCTTAGCATGATAAGTTCAGTTTTTCCGGTGAAAGGTTGTTCCGTGTCGCCTGGTTGACTTTTCATTATTATTATTGGAGAACGGGTGTGACAAAGACATCGTCACGTGTTGAAAATGCCTTCCATATAATAGTTTTTTTTTCTTTTGCAAAAATTTGCATACATGTATAATAAATGGATTTTTTAAATATGTATTTTTAATGAATATTTTGCAATGAATACTTTTAAAATTTCACTTTCACTGACTAGGAAAACATTAAATGGATATACAGCAATAATGGAATCTAAATAAACTCAAATTCTGAGAAAAGTGATGATTGTCTACAAATCTGTCAATCATCAACTAAAAAAGTTTTTTGATATATGTTATTTTAACATATATTTTCGTGTTCTATATATGTATATGTGGGAACTAAAAAAAAAAAATTAGATATATGGTTATATTATTATTATTAACAAGCATACAAGACTGCAAATTTCTTCATATTTTTTTTTTTTGCAAATATTTGCCCCTGGTAATTATAATGGTCACACCCAATAACCTTACACTAGAATGAATCCTTCAGAACAGGAAATTCAATAAAGCCATACCTACCGGTATATACATGTACCATATAATTATCAACAACTATCATTCGATTTTCCTTTTCAGTAGGAGAACAAAAAAATTTGCTAATTTTCTCATGATGGTTAGCAAATCAGTTTTAATTCAAATATATGCACTATTCAAGTGAAATTTTGTAATAATTTCTTGATAAAGTTATATGTATACACGCAATTCTCCAGCTGATTTGAGAACTCGATAATTTACAGGTAAGGAGGGTTATTGATTAAGAGGGCAGTAAAAGCTTCACCAGGATCACTTACCTTGCTCTTGTCATGTTGCCATGGAAATCCTAACCTCTGTTTTTCATGGAGAATTTCTGATTCAAATATTGACATTTTCTACAATTTTTCCAACAACAGAAAAACAACAGAAAGCTTTTGGTCACATTTTCCCATCGGAGTTCAATAATGTCATTGTATCCATACAGCCCTTTCCTTAGCTCAGTGTTTTGTAATCACAAAATCACATCTATTCGGATAAGATTAAAAATGGATGTTCTCTTTACCAGAATATTAATGCACTCTTGCAGGCAATAATATAAGATTTTTCATGATCCTTCTCATAATTTCAAAATAAAAACAATTAAAGATCCTTTTATGCATAATGTACATTCCCTTTTGTTAACATGCATCTGCTAACAGTGGTGAAGAGTCGAAAAGCCAGCTGTTATATTATAATGATATAACTTAAAAAATCAACACCCAAATTAAAAGTCCAATTTATAATTTTCCAAGTATAAATTTCAGATGGAAAAAAAATATTCCTCTTGTTCAAATCTTAAATTTCTTAGAATCCTAATATGAAAAAGATTGAAGAAGTCAGAACATCATCCAAACAACTGCAAGCATGTAGCCCTTTACCTTAATTGATGGGATTTTAATTGGTTGACTTCAGGTTAACAATTTAAGGACAGGTAAATTAACCCCCTGTTCTGGAGACAGAGAAGCACAATCCTCTGCTACCCAGTATCTTTGTAATGATGTTTAACTTTCGTGAGAATTTCTGTTCATTTGATTTCATCACCTTCTATATATTTCTCAATGCTTACATGCAATCTTCTACAAAGCCTTCAAAAATCAATTTTAATCCCCCCACCTACACATACACATAGACACACAGACAAAAATATGTGTTAATGTGGTTTACATTTTGTTAAGCTTTTGTGTTGCAGAAAATCAAACTAAAGTGAAATTCTTACAGACTAAGTGAGCAGGGATATAAAGAACTTAGGGGTATATCAAAGTGAAGTTTTTCAATGCCCTCGCAAAGTTCTTAACAATATCTCATTACGTTTTACAGTTATAACTTTGTAATTATGAATTTATTGATAGAGCAATGATATGTTTATCCTGGAAGTTAGAAATTTTTAAAAGTAAAATCTTTTATAAATATAAAATTTCCAAAGGTCTCAAATTTTCTAATTATAAGAACTGTGAAGTGTAATGTTCATGCAATGGATATGAAATGAATGTTACCTCAAGTCTGTACCAAAAAAGCTATATCAACTAATAACTCTTGATCTCAAATGCAAAAGACAGATGCATAAAATTTATTATGAAATAGGGTTACAATATTTAAATTAATTCATAATAATTTACCAAGTATATCTCAGAATTAAGCTGCAAAATGCAGACCTGACTCATTTTGCTGTAGCTAGCTAAAGAAAAATAAAGTTAGGAAGCATATACTGAAGAAAATGTTTTGTTGGAAATTAATAGAAGTCCAATACTTTTTTCCCAGCTTACAAACAATTATCTCTAAAAAATGAGTCTTGGAATCCTAATTTTAGCATTTGATCCAACATCTCTTTTAAAGCTTATCAAATTTGTAATAAGTTTCCATAAGTAAAGCAAGTTGATTTATCGTTAAAATCTGATGAAAAAATCAAATAGCTATGTATCATTAGATGAATAAGGCCACAGTTCTATCTAGAGAGGGTCAGGAGGAGGAAGTTCTGAGCTCCTGTTCAGCGAATAAATTTAAAGAGAATGGGGGGGGGTTAATTTTATATACTATGGTCCTTCTCAAATTTAAGTAGATAAAAACTTGTACATAATTATTCCA